ACAGGAATCATTGTACATCAAACTTTGATTTATAAATAGACTTTTCATTCTGAATTTATCTTAAACTATATTTGTAAATCTAAAATCTCATAAAAATCTTATTTACAATTATAATTACAATAATATAACGCATGATTGTCTAAATTGTTGAATAATTTACATTTTACACAGTTCATCAGAACTTCATATAATTGCGTTTGCACGAGTATTCCATAGAAATAATTTTATAATACTTAACAAGATACAAGTAACTTGTACTGAGATAATAAAAGAAGTCTTTATTTTATGATTTTTTAAAAAATAAAAAACATTTTAGCACTTGTAAAATGAACTTGGAGAAAATAAAACAAATAAAAATATATACAAATATTATATATATAATAGAGAATAAATACATTATTATATAATACAATATTTCAAATTAAAACAACTGTTATGTTTATCTATCAATATAATGAGAAATAAACTTTTAACAACAAATTAAATATTAATATAAAAGAATTTACGCACAAAGAGAATATTATAATAATAAAATAATAATAAAAAAAATTTGTTCCCTTGAAATACATCCTTATTATATCTTATTATATCAAGTCTGAAATATTTTCGAAACTATTGTTTACATGGAAAATTTTTTTAAACAAATATCATTTAATCATCTGTAATCGACATAATCATATGTACATGAAATAATATGAATAAATCAGATTCAATACGGATATCACTCCGTATAACATCTTAATAAAATATTTCCTAAATTATTGATTTTTTTCCAAAAATGGTTTGTTATGGTTCGTGTTTTTTATACTGAACTTTTAGGAACCATTCCATATAATAATTGAATTTCAAAAACATTTCAAAAACATTTCAATTAAATCTAATTTCAATCAAAACTAATAATTTCAAAAACATTTCAGCTCCCAATCTTAAATGATTTAATATAATAATATAAATATAATAATATAAATATAATATAAATATAATAATATAAATATAATAATATAAATATAATAATATAAATATTATATACAAAATAATAAACAGTAAAACCTTACAAAATAAGACCTTAATTTTATCTAAGTCTTTTTAAAATTGTCAAAACAGCATTATAGAGAAGCATTCTGGCATCTCTACCCCATAAATAATCAACGTGATTGAATTTTAAATATTCAATCTTTCTTATCTCTATAACATTTGGCAATCTATCAGTAAGTTTTGTTATATCTGTAGGATCAGTAAGAAAATCATTTTCACTGTAAAATATTGTAATTGGTGTTTTTACTTTTTCAAGATCATATTTTGGCGGCTGTGTTGACCCATAAATTTTCAGATTTTTTGTTGGTCCATAATCAAATTTACGAAATGAGCCTGTTAAAAGAAAATTCAATAATAATCAAAAAGAATAGTAAATTAATTTGCGTAAAAATTTTTTTGTATGAAATTGTTTTTATGAAAACTTATTAGTTTATATTAATAGTTAATTAATATAATTGAGACAAATAAAGGCACTAAATTGTTTATTAAACAATTACCTGATAGTATATTTTGGCTATAATGAATAATCTGTTTTGCAGAAGCACCAGCTGGAAAATGTCCCAAAATTAATGGTAACATAGATTTGTCTAACTGATCGCTACCAAATCCAGCAATTAATGAAAACCAGCATACACAAAATCCTTTGGTGAGACTACCTGGAGCATTTCGAATTATTGTACCCAAGGCTCGAGCTTGCAACCTATTGCGGGGGAACCATTGATGTACATTGCAATAAGAGGATCCCCACTGAAATATGTTTATTATAACAATGTCAACCAGAAAGCAGATCTTTTGATCAGAGGTGGATTTATTTATATATCACCTATATATAAGTATATTCTACATTGTATTTATTTCACCATTATGTTAAAAAAATCTTAATACCAATTTGTTTTTAATAAGAACTAAATCTCCCAACATAAACTATACACGTACAGATAATATTAATTTTTGAATTATTCATTAAATATTTATTAAACGTTAATTTAACATTAGTAAAGAAAATAACAAACGTTGTTTCCTATTGATATTTGATATATAATATTTACAATTAAACCACCTCTGATCATAATAAAAAGTTATTTCATATATATAAAAACATACCTCCATTAATCCATAAAAATGAACAATAAATTTTAGCAAAGGACTTCTATGATTTGAGAGAAATGCTATTGGTGCTAAACTGATCATTTCTCTAATTTTTTGATTATATTCAGATTTTTCACTAGCCATTACATAAAATGCAGTTGTGCCTTGACTATAACCCACATAATAGAGTTCTGCATGTCCAGTATACTCTAAAATGTAATCTATTGTTGCTGGTAAATCATAATAACCAATTTCATGCCAGCTAAAAGATTAATGAAATTATTCATTGTATAATTAATTTTTGACATATAGTATCTACTTATAGTAACATCTGTTTAATTTTTTTCTTTCCTTTTATTTTTCTCTTTCAATTTACTTCATTCAGGTTGTGTGTGAAGTAAACTAATGAGTCAAGTGATCAAAGATCATTCTGTGAAACCAGTTCTATGAATTCATGAATATAATGAATATCATTAATCAAAACAAAAAATATAAACATTAAGCACATTCAATTCTGTTAATTTATAGCTATTTCTATTTAAAATTATTATTTGCTCTATTCTATTTAATAACAGAACAAAATCTTATTTTTTAATCTAATTTAATTTTTTAATTAAAATTACCTAAAATTCCAAAATTCCTTGTCTTTAGTTGTATATTGTTTATGTTTCCTAGAATATGCATTTCCTCTTGCATTTCCTAGCCAAACATCATAATTATTATCACATAAAAGATATGCTAAAGCCTTTTCAGGGCCCAATAACACCCAATCAGCTGAACTTGATAGTAGTCCATGAAGAATGAGAACCGGTACTTTTTCTTTTGATGTAACTTCATGGCTTTCATTCTAAATATTGGACATTTATTTGTAATATTGACACAAATTTTATATCATAATTTAATATAAGTCAGGTATAATTTTTCAACTCTTTTACTACAGCATGGCTGAAAAATTGATAAAACATTTATATCAAATTCTATGTATTAATATTAACAATATTAATAAATAAATATTGAAACATTATTAATATTTATTTATAAAATACATATAAAACAATAAAGACCATCAATAGGAAAAGAGTTAAATTATTAATCTCAAAATGAATTAATTTCTTTACCGTGGCTTTACATTTCTATTGTTTTCTTTATTACTTACAATTTGTATATTCTCATTTATGTTGCAATCAGAATTTTGACAAAATTTTGATAGTACTCTATGTACATCAAGGCAATATCCATCTTCTGTCCAAACGTGATGTGTTTCTGATTTATAACCATGAACTACAATTAATTCTGGCTGAAAAACACATTTTTACTGTTACTTTATTTTTTATTATATGATTACAAGACAATATGTAATGGTAAAATATTGAATTATATTAATGTTAAGAAATGACTGACATGAAAATAAAAATAATACATATATTTCTTTCTGATATAATAAAGATATAATTATTGTTTTTAAAAAACTATTACGCATTTTATATATAAAATAAATTTTACATGGAATTTTGCATTTTATTTTCAAAACAAAAACAAATTATGAAACAAAAAAGATAAAAATATTGATGCTACATATACTAGTAACAATTTGTTGCTACTTTATAAATTTATAAATAAACTTAAAATATTACATTATATTATACTGTACTATTAACAACAAGAAAAAGTTACATAAAAAAAAAAAGAAAAAGAAACTTACTGTTGTCATATGAATCTCATCCTGATTGGTTGTTGCGCTCATTATACGAAAAATTGATAAAATTAAACTTTTGAACAAAGAAAGCTAGCTAACAAGTTTCACCACGAATTCTTTCTTTCTCCCTTTTTATTGTTTCTCTTGATTTATAATTTTATATTTTCCAAACGATTAAATGAGAATTTAAATTTCGTTGAAGTTTGAACACGTTTTCTTTGCAAATGTCGAAGATCGACAAATATCAAAATAATTTGTGCGCTTTAACTTTTCGAGACATAGCTATGAGGAACTTGAGCAAACCTGAACACATTCACAATGACACTCGCGTTAAACTGTCGTGCTTTGTGTCATTAGTGTCATACGTATGCGAGGTGACAATAGAAACGATTGCGCATGCGTACTAATTCAATAAATTTCTCGTATGTTATTTATTTATTATTTATTTATCGTAAACAAAAATAGTAATAATATTCTTTGCGCGTACGTGCCGATTTAATAAGTTTTTTATATGTTGTCATTTATTTATTATTTATTTATATTATTTATTATTTAAACAAAAATAAAGTCAGTAAAAATGTTAATTATTTACATTGAAATAAATGAAATTCGTTTTGGAATTAAAAGTCTGACATATATTTTTGAAAATATTAATTTTGAATTTTAAAAACTTCCAGTTTAAACATTACTTGTTTAAAAAATTGTTTTAAAAATTACAACGAATTTAAAACATATTTAAATCATGTCGAATTTGTAAGTGGAGGGAGATTTCGGGGAGGGTTATATTTTGAACAAGTTAAGCTATGTTGGATTAGATTTGAAAACTTTCCTAGATTTAATATGTACATACTAGTTTCAGTACTTCCGAATTCTATTCTTCGAGTATTGAGTATTAAGAAAAAGCTTATTATCAAGAAATATACATAAATATATATCAGCCAAAAACTTTTTTCGTCCCTAGAAAGAAATTTAACTCAAAATGAAAATATATTATTTCGTTATATTTGTAAACAATAAAATGCTGAATTTAATGCTAAGTTCATATTAATGTACTAGAATTTCATATTAAAAAACTATAATTTCATATTAAAACACTCATTGAATTTTGAAATTTAAGTCTTTCCTTTCCTCGTTTTCTCCCTCCACTTTTATCAGAAAATTATTTAAAAATTTTTTTTAGGATTCCATGTCGAAACAAGTTTTTATTTATAATATAAATAATCACATATATAATAAAATTAAAATGTATGTACAACCATTTGCATGTAACTTGCGCAACTATAATATTTTTAATTAAACGTATTACATAAATGTCTTTCACTAATATATTTATTCGTTGGGTAATGTGTTTACGTTTGTAACAAAAAATCGACAGATAATACCGATTTGATGGATCGAGAATCACTACGAAGTCGAATATCGTGAAATCGATCATTTCGATTAATCGATCATTCGGACGGTGGTAGTAAAAGAGCAGTGTGCAGTGGTTCACAAAAGTATTGTATATTTTTGAACAAAGGACAAATTAAAACGAGATTATAGTGGAGATGGTTGGTTGTGTATTCGAGTGAAGAAACTAAGTAAAAACTTCAGACTCCCCCTTTCTCGTAGAACGATGTTAACCATACGGTGACGAGGCCAGCCAGATCGGCGGAAAACTACGTCACCAGTGACGGATTCCCCCGAAACTGGGACAAAGTGCAGTGTACTCTGGCATTGCGCTTTACCGGAATCTCTCTCACTCCATGTCCTAGTACCTTCCCCTCTTTCTCTCTCTTTTACTCTCAGGATTGACCAATCGTCTCGTCATCCTCGAATCCTCGATCGAAACTGACAGGTAAACATCAAGATTTTCGGAAAGTTGGTCGGATTATTTATGCATTTGTCACATATTTTTTTATTTCTTAGTATTTCTTATTATTCATCGTATCATTATTTATTAGTAGTAGTATATTACCAGTATGGACGTTGTGTTATTGAATTAAATTGAAACTGAAATTGAACACTGTATGTATCTTTATAAAAGTTTTCGACGTTACATGTGTAACATTTCTGCGAATTTGTGCGCAGTATATTGAAAATTTAAAATATAAGAATTCATATTGTCAAAGACAAGGTAAATTGAAGCACATTTGTTGAATTTGTTCTAGGTAAACTACGACGAATGGTGCAGGTTCAACAATACAGTGTCCGGAGGGTTCAGTATCATGTCAGATGGGGTTGATGCTGGCGGCGGGGAAAACGAGGTAGATTCCCATTCCTGTTCGCACGCCGACGTCGGAGAGTCCTCAAATCCAAGAGATGAGGAGAACTTGGATCCAGATAATGAAGCTGCCTTAAATACTAATTATGATAGTGGTGATGGTGCTGTGCCAGCTTTTAGGTCTGTCATCTTCATGTAATTAATTCTTTGTATTTAAAGAAATTCCAATAAACGTTTAGATAATCGAGGTGTTAAATAGCGTATCAAAGGATCCATAACGTGTGGACAGGTGTGAAAGGTGTGAGAACTATGAAACTATAAATAAGACAGCATTCTGCGCTCATCAGGATCAATGTTTGGCTAATGCAGAGCCAGGAGAAAGCACCGAGAACATAGAAGCTACTGAAAATGATGGAGATGGAGAAGAAACACATCCTGGAATTCGTTCTCATAGGAAAATGTTTGAATGTGATGTTTGCAATATGCAATTTTCTAATGGAGCTAACATGAGACGGCACAAGGTATAAATAAAATAAATTTATTTCTGCTTTAAATTATCAAGATTTATAGTCTAAATAATTTTAATACAAGAAGTATTAAATCTCATTTACAGATGAGACACACTGGTGTGAAACCATATGAGTGTCGTGTATGCCAGAAAAGATTTTTTCGCAAGGATCACTTGGCAGAGCATTTTACGACACATTCTAAAACTTTGCCATATCATTGTCCAATTTGCAACCGAGGTTTCCAGAGACAAATTGCTATGAGAGCTCATTTTCAAAATGAACACGTTGGCCAACATGATATGGTCAAATCTTGTCCTTTGTGCAATTATCGTGCAGCAACTATGAAGTGCCTCAGGTTACATTTTTTTAATAGGTCGGTAGCTATTTTAGTAATAATATTGTTTATTTTATTATTAAGCACTTATTTGTTCATTATTATTTTAGACACGGGATCGATCTAGATAATCCAGGACCAAACAGTTCGAGTTCATTGATGAATAGTTGTGCTCCAGGCGAAGCTATGCCTTCTGCTCCTCTTTCAGATAGTGGAGACAGTACTGGAAATCGTTCTGCAGATAATGCAACACCGCCAATGCATTTTCTAACACCTCATATAGAAATATCAATTCCTTATCCAGAGCAAACCGCAAATCAACGAAATCCAAGTCCTGCTCCTTTAAACGGAGATAGCCCAAATAGCCCTCAAAGCGCAGATAGTAATAGTAATGCTCCAAGTAGTAGTCACCATCAGTTACCAATTAACAGTAGTGGTATTCACAGGTATAGAAAAAACTTAAACCAATTTTTTTATATGTCATTTAAATTTAATTTTAATTAATTTTCTAATTAAGGAATCTTGGTGGAAGTGAAGAGGCAATCACACCTTCTATTTCATTAATTCCTATTAAGCAAGAACCAAACAGTAATGGAGCGGAAGAAAACGGAGCAACATCCAGTAATCTTCCATTACCATCTTTGATAAAAGTTTCTCCATTAAAATCTCTTCTTCGAGACGATTTACGACGTAAACTTTCATCTGGCTCAGGAAATAATAACAATAACAACAATAATAACAATGGTAACTTTATTTATTGTCTTATTTAAATTCTTTTTATTATTATCATCTTAATACAATTTAAAGTTTTCAAATATAAATCACGTTTTGATTACGATGATTGATTTTGTTATGAAAATATTTATTTTAGCTGTTTTCTGATATGTTACTATTCATATTCTAAAATATATGAAGAATAATTAGGAACATGGAACTGAAGATTTTTATTATTTTTCTATTTTGATTACATTGCATGTATTTTATATGTTATTTAAAATAACTATTTCTATATAATTTGTGTAGATACAGATACATTGATTTTGCAATAGGTAATAATAGTTCAAATTCAAATCCCCACTCAAGAGGAGAACCTCCTAGTTCGACAAGGCCCGATCAACGAAGTAGTGGACTTCAGTGCGCTCACTGTAGAATTACCTTCCCTGATCAAACATTATATTTTCTTCATAAAGGTTGTCATAGTGAAAGCAATCCTTGGAAATGCAATATTTGCGGAGAACAATGTTGCAACTTGTATCAATTCAATTCGCATTTATTAAGCAAAAGTCATCAGTAATTATTAAAAGAATAATGTTCTTTTAGAATCTCGTTTATTTAAATTGGATAATATAATTAATTTAATTTATAGAAGCAAAATTATAATCTTGAATCAGAAAGAATTGTTTTGTGTTATAAAACGTAAATTAAATTTATATATATATCACACTTTTCTAATATTTCTATTTATTTTAATATCCACACAGGATGTTAAAGAAAAAGAATTTAGTACTTCAAGGATAAATCGTATTCATCAAATAGAAAAGAAAAGTTTTAATCAACATAGATCGAAAAATTTATTTATTTTCAAAGCAATTTTTATTATAAGCAATTTTTTGTTCTAGTTATAGTGCTCGATTATATATACTTGCTTCGTTATATGTAAACAACTGATTATCTTACTATTTGTTCTACTAATGTTTATAGAAGATTATGTTTCTTTTCTGTTTCACATCTTCGGAATGGGAGAATTTCGAACTTCTATATCAGGAATCAGGTTTTTCCAAATCTCGATGTCGTATTTTAAATAGACCGGGCTCACAAAGACGTTCATGAAGTTTCGTAAATAACACATGAGATGGTATTTTTCGGTTCGGATATTTTTCTATATAAAATTGTTTACAAAATTTTATTAACATCTTTGTAAGAAGGATTTATTTAAAACATGATATCGAGATTTGGGAAAACGAAGTTCTATTTCGATTCTTGGAGGTCGAAATGATTTGAAATTCTTTCATAGAAAGATGTAAAATTTGCATGGAAATGAAAAGAGCATACGTAGAAAATCTTCTCTGGGGAACGTCAATAGAAGAAATAATAAAGTATTCAATTATTACATATAATTGATTACTAGAAACAAGTAAGTCGAGCATTAAAATTGAAACAGAAAATTGCTCATGAATTTGAATTTTTTGATCTATGTTCATTAGAACTTTTCTCTTTTATTTGACAAATATCATGTATTCTTGAAGTACCCTGAATCCTTTTTTTTTAACACTTTGTACATATAGTTATTAATTAACTAAAAATTAAATAAACGAGGTTCGAAAAATAATTTTGCAATCTGGAAAAAGTCGTGCCTTCATCAAAATACCTTTGCCAACGCTCACATTCGTCCGAATCGTGCTAATTTGTGATGGTACGAATGATCCGTCCATGGAGCTTTACTGAAACGTATTCCAAAAGCTCGATTGATAGTTTTATATATATAAACCTAGTTATATATATTTAGATAGAAAAAACAGTGACTACCAATGTGCTCTTCGTTTTATTCAAATTCTTTTTACGCACTGTTTTTTGTTTGGTTTTTTTGTAAAATTATTTGTTAAATTTTATTAATTTTATATTTATATAATATGTATTCGTACATATAATTTCATTTAGTTTTATTAGAATAAGAATATTATGATTATTACATGATACTGTTATTTTGATTATTTATATGTAAAAAAGAATTACAAATAATCAAGGAAAATTACTTAAACACTAAATTTCAGTTGTCGATTTATTATCATGATGTGAAGAAAGAACAGAGCTGTGTATTACATTGCATATAAATACAAATATATAAATAAGAGAAGGAAATGACAACTAAAATATTGTGTCAGCATATTTTATATAAAGGTATTTGTACAGAAAAGTATTAAAGTATAAAAAAGGTATAAAAAAGGTATGCAAATAAAAAAGTCAAGATATCATATTTCAAAGATTGATATTAATATCAGAATAAAAATAATTATATGATTGTTAAAATTAAAGAAAAAACACAAGGTACATAGAATTAAAAACTAATTGGGAAATAAATCACAATAAAATCAGTATTTAATTGTTCAAATTAATTGGTCAAATAAAAATTAAACATTTATTTCAGTATAAATAAATACAAAACTCTATCTCATTAGCAGTCTTGAAATATAATTTCGAGATCCTAATAAGTGTTTTGTGTACGTGTATATGTATGTATGTTTAATACAGAATATTCAATTTATGTGGGTAAATTTGTATTATTATACGTTATGTAATATACAAACAATTTTCGAGTCACAGTCATTAAAAATTTATACTGATATATTATAGTTAATTTCAAAAATATAAAAATATAAAAATAACAGACCATAATAGAATGTGTAATGAAATTGGTACTCTGTACATATTCTATATTAAACAAGTACATTAAGCGCGATACGCACGAATACTGTTGTCAATGGTTGTAGTTATTTAAAAGTTGTTCCGTAAATTACGTAATGTTTAATACACTTATCACTATTACTATATTATTACTATTATTATGTTATTATTGTATTATTTATCGATACGTAAGTTATTTATTGTTACTTTGCATTCCAATGTACTAAGTTTTAATTATGCCTCAAAGTTGACGATGCTTGTTTATTTCAAAGTTTATTTTTATTACTTTTTTTATTATTCTTCAACTTTTTAATTATGTTATGTTTTCGAAATAATAAAGAAAATTTAATTAATTGTTTTTAATGACAAAATTTCAAATCATCAAAGTTTATAGAAAAATGTCTCTATTGTGGAATGTTTTATATTCGATCAATGTATTTTTTTTTTTTTTTTTTTTTTTCAATACAAAATAATATATACTTTTCAGTGCCTAAAAGTGAACGTAATATATAAATAAATAGACTCTGGTTTAATATTCTAAATAAATATTGCAAAAAAAAATTTTTCAAGAGAAAGAATTTTAAATTAGCATCGTCAATGCAAATTTTTAATATTTTGACCGAGTGCGTGTTCATCATATTCTTACTCGACATACGAAAATGAAATACAGTTAATATTTCTTATTAAATTATCTTAGGAAAGGAAAGTAAGAAAAACAGAAAAGCCATGCATTAGATCGTGAAAAGATAATTTCTTTAGCTATATTTCTGAAAATGTAATTACAGAAAAAAAAACACCAAAAAGTATATATTCAATTATTTAATAAATCACTCTTTATCTTGGTATGCTATTATGGTATGCTTACTTGGTATGCTTGGAATCAATTAAATTTATTTCGAAAATATTAAATTAACGCTCCATAAATTGTAAGAACTGATTAAATTCTTTTTGTGTTTATGTACGTATATATGTATCGTTCAGTTTTAAAAAATAATTGATTTCTTAACGATCTAAAATGTATGTCTACACAAAATATTTCTCATAGTGAAATTTTTTAAAATCGTTCTAATGTATCAAAGTTTATTGATATTATAATTTACTGAATTATTAAGACATCTGATAAAATAACAAAATTTAAAATATGTAAATAAGTGAATCTTCCGTATCTAATGTTTTTCACTGTGTTTTGAGCAGTATTTTAATTTGCATCTTAAAATTTACTATGAGTTATCTTTTACTTTCTTGCTATATTAATGTAAAAAAGCTGTTAAAATTTAAAAATTAATATATAATATCAATATATGAAGAATCTATTTATATTTTTATTTTATTTTACCACGCGATTGTTCATTTTTATTTTAATAATTATTTGATTATTTAAACTAAATTTAATTAAATCTAATGTTATTAATGATTAAATTCCAATTGAATTGGATTTGATTTATAAAACTATTGTTATTCATGCATTTCTATCAATTAAAAAAAAAAGAGTTAAGAATTCTAAAATAACATTTCAATTATGATTTGAACAGACTTTTTTGTGTTCATATACTTGAATTGATTTACTTTATATTTATTTCGTATAAAAATTAACTTGACTTCTGGTAAAAATTATTTGTACAATAACTATTAATGTTACATTATGTGTTACATAACATGTTAAAGAATGTTAATTGAAAATAAAAATGGCTTTTACACAAATAATTTAAAATGTTGCATGCTACAAATTCAGAATATGTTATATGAAATTGTATGTAGAGTATTTAAACGCAAAGTAAATAAAATAGATTTAACTGAAAATGGACCAGAAGAAAGAATAGAAGAAAAGCTAAAATTGTTGATGTTATTATAACTTATGGTGTAAAGGGTACAATTGAAATATATCATTATTATATGTTATTCATTTATGTATTCATATGAACTTCCAAAAAACCAAATTGATTCACTTTTTATTAATTTCTTAATTGCTTTATATAAATGCGCAATTAATATTTAAGATCAAATTAGTATTTTAGAAAAAATGATATAAATAATAGTAAATTCTATAATTAAAAAAAAAGAATAGTGTTTATAATATTGTTACTTTATTACATTTCTGTACTTTTCAATTTACAGAGTAATCTGATTGATACATTTGATTCTGAATAATTTATATAATTATTTTCCTTTTTATTGTAAAGTTTGCAAATAATGCAGGAATGTAATTAAAGTAATCGCTGTTATTGAAATTTTATTCGAAAAATTTTTTATATAATTATCAATATTACAATAATTAAAATAAAATAAAAATATTTTCGCATTGACTTAAATTATTTAAATACATTTGTTTTTCTAATTTAACAGTGATATAATGCTATGTATGATCCTATTCATACCATTTAAAATTAGTTTACTAATTCGATATGTGGGGGGCGGGCGAAACGCTGAAAAAACCAAATACTACTATGGCGGTAAATACTACTATTGGGCGTTGTTCTTGACACCTGTTGCTTTTCCTCGATTTTGTGGTTTGAAGGAATTTTTGATTTTTAGAATTTAAAAAAGGAAGTTTGAAACTACCCATATGAGTTTGAATCATGGTACAACAAAGTAAGTTTTGTTTTTCAAAAATATTTCAATTATATTTGTCATTTAATTACCGAAATAAAAACGTATATTTAAGACAAAAAGTAAAAAAAAAATGTAAATTAGCAAAAAATGATTTACTATGTTTTCTTTCATTTTTTAATATGTAAATAATTTAAATAAATACGCCATTTTGGAATGCAGACCTGTTTGACAGTTCGCTTTATCTTTTGCTATCTTGCTGTTGTTTTCTTTTCTTTTATTAATTTGTCAATAAGAGCATATGTTTATGAACTTTCTAATAAAATTCTTCTCGAAAATTCATTATGGCTTAAATCTGAGAATAATTTTAAGATATAAATTTTTAGGTTATATACGTTTTGTGTGTTTATAGATCTATTTCTTGTAAGTTTTGAAATACATTTCTTGATATCTATCATTTTTATTATTTAATTACGTAACAATTGTCTCATTGTTCTTATTTTTAATGTATAATTCTCTTCACAGAAATTAGCAATGGGTAAAAGCGAAGAAAGAAACGGAAACACAATACAAATAAGTGAATCAACTTTTCTTACAAAAACATCAAGCGAAGCTAGTAAGATGCTAGAAGCTGCTTTGTTACAAATGGATGACATTATTTCTGGTAAACTGCTATTATCAATTTGAGATAATTTCAATTAAAGTTTGTTGAAATATATAACTAATATAAAGAATATTTAATTACTATTTTATTGATTTAAGAAATGTTCTAAGATTCTGTATTATTTAAGATCTTTAGATTTTAATTAAAATATACATGTTCATTAATATTACAATATATTTTTAGGTGTATGTACAGAAAGCAATAATGAAGGTAATGCAGAATGGAAGGATTCTGTTAAAGAAGCCACAAAAAATCTTGTGACAGCAATTAAAAACTCTCCAAGTTCTCCGTCTCCTCCAGATACAGCTACTATTGAAACTTTACTCCAGTGGATGCAACCGGTAAATATTTTCATGTTTATTTTAATTATGTATCATATTTCAGTCATATACTGTTTTATACCTATTTTATATTTATAACGTTATACGATATAATTTAAAGAATTAAGCTAGGTCATTCTGTTATATGAAATAACATATTTAAAAAGTATAATTTTAGCACATTGTCATTTCATTTAACAAAGAAGCATTTGGTACATAATATGCCATAAAAAATATTACAAACTTTTCTTTTAAATTGTTATTATGTGGAGTCAAACATGATACATATACAAATATATTTTGATTACATTTCATTTTATTAGAGAAAGAAAAAAGATTTTTAAGGCAACAAGGGATTAAATAGCAATTACCAAAGTTAATAACATATACTTGAAAAATTTTCTTTTATTCTTGTTTCTTTTGTTTTAAATTTGATTGTTTTGATCATTTTACCAAATTTGGAAATATACTTTCTTTTACTTGAAAACTACTATATGCACACGAAAATCTAAATGAATAATATATATTTCTGAATATAAAAACTATGATATTATTTGAAATAGAAAGATTTTGGTGTTTTGAAAAACAAAGAACTCGATCTATCTATAGATCATGTCACGTGACTATTCCCGTCTTGAGAAATTTTAGAATGATAATTTTAGTTTCTAACAGAACCGCGACTCGATCGTTTCATTCTGAAATATTAATTTGCATGAAAATGATTGAAAAAAATTAGATGGAGAAAAATATGTGATTGAAAAAAATTAGTTAAGCTTTAAGATTAGAAGATTTATAGATAGAGAATAGAAAGGGTTTGCGGGAGATCCCGAGAAAATAAAAGAAGTTAATAAAATTAGGATTAAAAGACTATGAAAGAAATTCTTACTTGTAAATTGTATATGCTTAAAAAATAATTTCTTTGGCAGTACTTTACATTATTTAATTAAATAAATCCTGTGTAAAAATTTATAAAAAATTTTATATACTATTACGTTCGAACAAGACAAAACAGTGAAAGAAATTATACGTTGTTTTTTAAAAAATTAATTGCGTAAATTGTTCTAACAATAAGTTCAAAGCCATCGAAAACTATGTCGAGATCAAAACAATTGAACAGTTGGATTCCTTCTGAAGAATATGATTCTTCAGAAACATCAAATTCTGAACAAGAAGATGAATTTACAAATATTGGCTTTTTAAATCATCGAATACATGAATCTGGCAATTGCTTTTGCCAGGTAATATAAATAAGAGAATATTTGAAAAGAAGAGAATATTTATTTTTTTAATTTATTTATTAATATCTTTATCAAAGTATTTAAATTTTTATGAAACATTAATTTTTTAAAAATGTAAAATTGTAATTTTATTATATATAAAGTGAAAAAATGATTTAAATACTATATTAAATAAAAACTCTGTTATAATTTTTTTAATTTTCATACGCCATAAAATTTTTGCTTACAAATTATTTTAAAAAAATTTTTCATGTTTTAAAAAAACTTTATCATTTAATTGAAATACGCGCGTTAATAATAATCCTTATATAGATTCTTCAAATTTAAAATACGTTTCAGTAATAGAAATATACTATATTGTAACAGATTTAATAATATATATATATATTTATTTATTTATGTAAATTTGTTTATAATATATATATATAAATAAAATATTTATCAAAAGTTATAGATAAAATAAAATATACTAAAAAATTTATTTCAAATTGAGTATAAAACGTTTAGAAGAATCATATCATTTTCTTAGAGTTGTCCATTAGGTAATGCTAAAATGGTTAACCTGAGAGGAAGTGTGCCTAATCTCTGTACATCCACAAACCTGACACACATTGGGACTCTTCCACCTTTCTATTCTACAGTATATAATATGAGGTCTCTTTGTGTTTTTATTTCTTTATTGTTTGCAAATTTAAAATCACTGATTTTATAACATGATTAAACAGCTTTTGTTCAAAAACCAATGATTATCAAGGCAATAAAGATTATAAAGGAAATCAAAGCAGTCATTCTTTAGAATTAGGAAAAAAACAACAAGTGAGGAATAGAATATTAGATGAACAAAGAACTAAATCACAATCGGATCTTCTTTTAAGAAGAAAAGAATTTCCTTATTGTTTCTCACAACATTTTCAAGATACACAAAAATGCCATAAGTGTCAAACAAAGACTGAGGTATATTGTTACTTATAATAAAGAACATTATGGAGTTAAAAATTAAAATTATGGTTGAAATAATATATATAATTGAAATAATTAATTTCATAATTAACCAATATGAATATTACATTATATTGTAGAAATTTATGTCTTTTAATTAGTAATTAAATTATGTTAATTTATTTATACTATGAAACTTGAGATGAATACTATAATTATTAATACTTAATATTTATTATATAGATTTACATAGTATATATATCTTAATATTATATTTACACTAGATTTTTTCTTTCAATATTTTGTATTAATATTATTAATAAATTTATATTATTTAATAAATATTATTTTTTTTATTAAATATTGTTATTTTAACAGATAAATTTTTCTTAGATATATTGATTGTGAAAATGTTTTATGTTGACTGATAATATAATTATGATTAATAAATTATATTTTATATACAATATTAAATGTTATAGGAACGTTTAAAAAAATTAGAAAATGAACGTGGAGCACTACGTATGGAAGTATCAGTTTTGTCAGAGCAAGTGGATGCACAATCTAACAAAATACAAGAGTTGGAAAACATGCTTAGGGAAAAGAAGGATACTCTTAGAAGAATGGAAGAAGCATTACAAAAGGTAATTTTATAATTTTTTATATTACATTATCATATCATATTTCATTTTGTGTGTAATAATTATATTTCTATGAATATTATTGTTTTAACATAATCTATGTTATATTTATAATTTCATCACTTCTTTATAATTTCATTATACGTTGTGTTATTTTTGCTTCTATTTTATTTTTATTCGTACTTTATTCTAATAGTCTTAATTTTTAAAGGAAGTACTCTCAAGAAGTGCTTTGGAAACACAAAAATTAGAACTCTTGAGTTCTTTATCAGAGATGAAACTTAAACAAGCAAGTTTAGAGCATGAAAATCTTGCACTGCGTAGTATAAATCCTATGTCAAATGTAAGTTGATAAAAATTTATATAAAATTTAATATTTCTTTGCAGAAAGAAAGAATATGTAAATAACTATATTACATTTGTGTTAAATATAATAGAATATATTATTGTTAGCAATTTATTACAGGGAGAAAAATTTGGGAGGCATACCAGTCAATATAGTAGTCTTCCTAGGCCTCCAAGTACTTCAAAGAAAGGTGTAATGTTCGGTAAGGTACCCAGTTTAATTTCTGGAGTACACACAACGGTACCATTGGTCGTTAAAGGAGTCTCCGCGAGATGCCTGTCTGCACCTACTTTAGGTTGCAATTGATTTTTGCTTTAAGCATGCATCTTTTCAAGAAAATAATTGTTCTTTTTACATGACAGGCAGTCGTGGCTAATAATTAAAAACTTTCTATTAGCTTATATTAATATTAATAAATTTGATTTCCTGACATCAGTTTCATGTTGATTTTTGCATGAAAATTTTGATTGTTTGATTTTATCTGTTCTGATCTACAATGTCATTCACAAGTAATTAACGCGTGTAATGTAACAATATTATCTAAAACATTAATATGTTTTGAACACTAAGATATTTATTATCTTCAAATTATTTATTTGCTTTTGTTTAACTTTATTGTTAATATGTAATATGACATTATATTTATGGTGAATTTATTTTAATAAAATTAAATTTTTTCTTATTTTATTTATTTTAGCTGAAGAAGAAAAAACAATTATAGGAGATTCAAATTTTCAAATGGAGTCGATTCAGAAACCTCTGGTAGAACTTTCAATGGAAGAAATTGGAGATTGGCTTACAAATTTGGGATTAGAATGTTATGCAGGCGAATTGAGAAGATGGGGTGCTACTGGATCAAAATTATTAGAATGCTCTCAGCAACAATTAGAAAAGGAATTAGAAATTAAAAATGTTCTTCATAGAAAAAAATTATTGTATGCAATAGAATCAGAAAAAACTGGTGGAGTTGAATTTCTTGGATCGGATAAAGTAATTTTTATAGTTTTATGATTATATATTATCTTATGTAAACTAAATATATTTATATTAAATTAAATATATAAATTAAATATATTAAATATATTATATATTGTATAAATTACATATTTTTAAATTAAATAAAATATAATTCCATTTATAGATGGATAATGCAGCAGTTTTGCGATGGCTGGATGATATTGGGTTACCACAACATAAAGAAGCTTTTCAAAATAGTAAAGTTGATGGCAGAATGTTACATAGACTCACCACTGAAGATCTTTTAAATCTTGGAGTTACTGCACAGTTACATGCTGCAAGCCTTAGAAGAGGAATTCAGGTATCTTGTCTAATTTATTGTGAATATTATACCAATTACAACAATTTAAACTATTAATTTGAATAAACTTAAATTAAAACAGTAAATTAATATTACAGTTAATATTAAATTATTTATTGAAAGATTATACTGAAATTAAATTAAATATTGGATTAGATTAAATTAAAAGATGATAATATTTTTATAGATTCTACGAGAATTAAATTTTGAATTTGATAACCTTGAAAGAAGATCTACAAATGGCAATGGAGCAGATGGTAGTAATGTTCATCTTTGGACAAATCATCGAGTAATGGAATGGCTTAGAGTAGTTGATTTAGCAGAATATGCACCAAATATGAGAGGATCTGGAGTACATGGAGGTTTGATGATGTATGAAGGCAGATTTACTTCAGAATTGTTAGCCACAATACTTAGTATTTCGCCAGGAAAAACTCTTCTTCGTAGACATTTAACAACACATTTCAATCAAATTCTTGGAAGAGAAGTTGTACAAAGGAAAAGAGAAATTGAAAGTACTCTTGGATTCGTTCCACTTACGCTTACTGCTCGTTTGAAGGTAATTTCAATTATTTTGAAGCATACAGAAATCTATAATTAAATTATTCATAATTCATATTTTTGCCTTATTTTTAAAAATAATGATATCTGAAATCTTTTATATTTTTGTATTTAGAATGAAATTATCATTATTTTGCTGTTTGTTCTAAATTTTTTTTTAATCTTTACAGTAATAGAAAAAAACGTTTTAGATATTTATAATAGCAAAAATTGAATAAATCAAAGTAGAACAATTAATGAAAGAAATTATTTGTACTTATTAAATAAATAATATTCAAATTAAATAACAAATGATAATCAAGTTTCTATTAAACTTCAATGTCATAATCAAATTAGAATGAAATTGATTTAGGTACCTAAGAAATCTCAGTTTACTTTAAAACGCAAGAAAAGCAAGAATGAAGCAGATTATGGTAATTTGGTCTGCCCTTTGGAAACTTCACCACCAGGTACTCCATCAACACCTACTTCGACATCAGGCAGCCCTAACTTAAATTCACCTACATTCTAACAATAATCAGAGATCACAATCTCGTAAGTTTAACTTGACTAATACTAATTCAGTTTTTTTATTAACTTTCTCGTTTAATGAATAATTCATTAAATATGTGGTCTTATTTTATATTAAATAATTTCTACCTTATTTCATTTTATGTAAAAATTATATATCATATATCATATAAACATTCTTTAAAATTATATTTATTTCATCTTTAGAATTGCTTACTTATATTAAAATATTTGAAATCATTGTATTTTTATATTTAAATTCATTATAATTATAAAAACAGTAAAATTAAAATAGTGCAGAAAATATTTTAAAAATTAGTAGGGAACAAAAAAATTTTTATTATTACAGACATTTTTATTATTACCATATTAAAATTTGGATTGCATATATATTAATATATTTTAATATGTAAACTCATATTTAATAACGTGTAGATTGTGTATTGAATTAAAATATGTACTGATAATATTTTTTTTAACAGACCTAGTTAATGAATTTTCATTTTCGAGACAATTATTTTAAAAAATTTAAATTTTTCACAATTTTGACAATTGCCAAGTAAGACATAAATGATTTTATTGTTAACAAATAATACGAAGATGTAATTATTTTTTAATTACATATTTTCAACATATAAAAAACATATTATCATTACATATTATCATCTAAAAAACTCAGTTTATTAACTAATATATATAAAGTAACATACATACATATATATATATATATAAAGTAACATATATATATATAATTATAAATATTATATTTAGTAAAAAATGTATAATAAATAAACTATAATTTTGTATATATATTTTTATTATTTTTCAAAACTGTCTAATATTTCAATAAACTAACGAATTTTTAATTTACATTATAATATTACATATTTTATGTTATTATATGATAACATATGATTATTTGTTCATTCGCTAATATTTATAAATTTATTTAAATTTCACATATACCATCGCATATTAATAAATTAATTTCTTATTAATTAAATATTTTAAAAGGTAAGTTAGTATTCTATTCTAGTTACTTGCTTGTTTTATCATTTTATCATCAAACATTGAACTACATAATTTAATATAATAAATTATTTAATTATTTAAATATACAAAATAATATCTTTTCCAGAGCCAAGAGATAATAGACAAAGAAGAATTATTGGTTGCATCTGAAAAATGTAATTACATCTGTAAACAAGAAAGATATCTAGGGACCATTATTTCATCTACTTAGACTAAGTTTGACTATTTAATTTTATATGATAAAAAAATCTGTAAAAAGTTTAAATGTGCTTCCCATTGAAGTAATTTTTCTAGAAAAAATTTGCTTTTTCAATATATTTATTTTGCTATGTACAATTTTTACAATATTTTCATATTTTAAATAAAGAACAATCTTTATAATGGAAATATTAAATTTTATGAATATAATGAAAAGTACAAGTTTTAGTCATGTAAAAATGACTAATTAGCATATATTTATAAAGAACAAGAAATAAATTAATATTTATATTGCTTCTGTATTTTTATCATGTTTCACTTTACTGAAATTTTATTAATACATGTTTTGTGCTATTCTTAAATAAAGTTAAATAATTAAAATGTTCACTTAAATTTAAAAAATTACGTATATTGGTATTAAGCTAAATCTCTAAATTGTGAATAAAATATAAATAATATTTCATAAACTTATTGAATAATAAATTATTTTTGTATTTTATTTAATCAAATAATTGTGTATTTTATTTATTTCATTCAATAAATATTCTTGTTTCAATTACTAATAAGATAAAATATTACAAGTTGTTGAAAATTAAACAATAACCAAATGATATATCTAATTATTTTATATCTAAAGTTAATTAAAATTTATTGTCTATTAATTCAATTAATGTTAGTTGCTAACTATTAATTCCTTTGGAAGTATGTTTATGTAAGTGTAAGTCTTGTAATTTTAATTAAAACTTTTTTATAATATTAAATATTAAATGTCAAAATAAAGTTGTAGCCATTAAAAATTTATACCATATTGTGCTGATTATAAATAAATAAAAATTAAAATTGGTATATACAATTCAATCTCTATGAATGAAATTATTTAAAATAATTAAAATATAATTATTAACCTAAACATTTCTATCATATATTTATAATGTTCAAAAAATTGTATTCTTAAAAAATTATTTGCTATATATGAATATAAATTTAAAAATTCAATCAATTTTTGGTCTATATTCTATATCTATAGTTTATTGTTGCTCTATATTCATTCAGTTCGTGTTTTTCAGTGCCATGCGCGTTCAGATCCAAACTTGCATTGTAAATAAACAGTGTTATGGACAGAAGTAACAAAATGTGAAAAGAATATATAACTATATTAACAATGGAAAACGATCGTTTAGCGATCGTTTATGTTGCAAACGAAGACAAGGAATTAACTCTTGCAATTATTTATGGACAAACAATTGAAGATCTTTGTCTCAAGGTAAAAATAAAAAAAAATCATTTTTCGTAATTTTATTTTTTTATTATTTTGAGGTTAAATAGATACTTATTTTTTCGCTATTTCAGAAGATACTGAATATTTTTATTGGTATTTTTTAGATTTAAGGTGAAATCAAAATTGAATTAAAATTTAATTTTAATTTGAATTTTTAAGAATTCTAATCAAATTTAATGAAAAGTTAAATTTATTACCATTGTGTAATATCTATTATTCATATATAATATAATGCCAATCTTCACAATAAAATGTTCTGACTCTATTTATTTTAACAGATTTGTATCTTAATTTATATAAATGATCATTTTTTAGGTCTGTAAATCTCTTGGAATAGGCCCAGTAACCAGACATCTTTTTGCTCTTAGAAATCATTACACAAAACTTTGGTATCCGTCAGCATACCGCTTAGAAATGAAAGATAAAAACAAATTTGACTTTAGGTTAAGATTTAAACCTTCAAGCTTACAAAGATTGAAACATGTTGATGTAAATGCCTATGATTACTATTTTCAACAGGCACGTTCAGATGTTATGGATAATAAAGTGCCAGACATTGTTTATGAAAGACACAAACAAGAATTAATTGGTCTTGGTGTTAGTGATATGTATAGGTTTGTATAATATATTTAATTAAATTGTTTGACGTTTTAGATGTAATATAGAAATATTTAACATCATTATGATTAATTATGCAAGTAATTGAATGTAAATTCTGTTTAGTTTTTTTATTTTGTTTTTTTTAGTATGTCATTGAAGAAATCTTTCTTATTTCATTGTGAACTATTTTTGTTGATGTTATGATAATTGATGATGTGATACCAATAGCATGTAATGATGTTCTACCATAAAAACATTTGACATCTTGATTTCATGTTATTGCAATAAAACTGATTATGAGACTGAATCAAACAAAAGATAATGATTAATGCCTTCATTTATCTGGTTTAATTGTTCCAGATTTTTAATTTTAGAGATATTTAAAAAAAAAAGATCTATGCAAATAAGTCATAATTCAGTAGTTTATAACAGCTTTTATAACAACTTTTTAAAACAGCTAGAATTAGTTATTTAATTATATTATATTTTACATATGTCTGAAATGATTTTATGACATTCTGTATATTCTGTGTATGTTTGAGATATTTTTATAAATATAAAGTTCCTAAAAATTCTTAGTTTACATAATTAATTTTGATTAATTTGGAAATTTTCTTTTATAGATCTTATCAAGATTTTTAGATATGAGATTCTTAGATTCTTAGATATAGATTCTTAGATATAATAAGTTTGTTTTAAGATTCTATTTTATTTACATATTAATTTCAAATAGGGCCTTCAAAAGTCCTGCATTTTAAAACTAACTAAAATCTTAAAATCATTTAGTAACGACATTCGTATTTTACGAAAGTTTAGCTTCGTTTTTTATTAATAATATCGGTAAAGAGTTAATTAAATAAGATTTGCGTTTAAATATTAATTTCGTTTTGCCTTTTTATAGAGTAATGTTAGAAAAAAGACTACCAAGAGAAACAGTGGAATCAGAATATAGGAAATATATTCCTAGAGAATGTATAAAACGTCATGCGTTTTTTATTAAAAAACCAATTCATAATGCACTTCGAAAAATATCTGGATATGATGCAAATTATGTCAAAGAACAATATTTGAAACAATTCGAATGTATGGCGCCAAATTATCCGTATGAAGAATATGAAGCTTTAATGGATAGAGGTCTTCAAAACCCACCAGCAAAAGTGATTTTAAGAGTCAATGTAGACGAAATAAAATATTGTGAAACACTTGCTACTCCATGGACTACATTGTGTGCAATTGAAGATTTATGTTTTGTTTCCATAAGGTTTAAAATTTATTACTAAATATATAAAATAAGTGTTGAAAGCGAAATTTAAATATAATTTTTATTTTTTTAGATACAAATAAAAATATTTTTTGTAGTAAAAAGTGTACAATGAATTTAATGTGAGACAAGTATTAAAAATAAGTTCTAAATTTAATTTTTATTAATATTAGTATTCTTTTATATAACAAATTTTATATACTTTCATATAAGATTTCGTTTTGTAGTAAAAATTATATTATGCAATATAATATGTTCAATCTTCAATCATTGTACATTTAAATTTTTTAAATTTAATAACTACTAATAATTACTATATTACTATCTACAGAAAATATAAGATAGAAAATATTATTATTTCATAAAAAATATTTGTTTATAAATTGTATTTATAATATCGCAATATTATGTCTGAAATTATTATTATTATTAACGATATTTAGATATATTCTAGAAAACTAAATATTTTTACCCATGAAAATAATCTACTTTTTTGTACTATATACAAGAAATAGAACAATTATCTTGTTGTTATCAACTTGTCTTTTATTCATAGCTGTAATTTTTGTGTCAGAAAATTTCGAAATTTACATTAGTTGGCATTTGATCATGTTTATATTCTTTAAAAATTATGGTCTAATGATATAATAAAATTTCATATAAAATATTTATTAGCATTTATTGCATAGTATATGGTCTATTAGTGGTATGCAATGGTCAGTAAAAGTAGAAGTTTTATTAGGCACATATTATATTAGAATGTCTTTAAATATTCTATTTAAATAAATGAAATGTAAAGAAAACTGAAAAATCAAATTAGTATTAATACTATTTTTTCCTACTTAAATACTGAAACTTTATACTTTTAACACTTAAGTAATATTTTTTTTTCAGTAAGCACTGAATATCTTAATACTTATATTTATAATTAACATCATAATTAATATTTATTTATAATATAATAATTAACTTTTTTTTTTATTTGTTTTATTTGTATTTTAGTATTTTAATATTTGTATTATTTTTTAGACAGGATAATACAGTGGAAATATCAAGAAAAAATGGTATACCTTCATATTTAAAATTTTCAAAGAATGCACTTTTAATGTCCTTTGTTTCTGCATTGGATGGTTATTATCGCTTGGCAGTTAAATGGACATTTAATTTATGTGGAGAAGTTGTTACTCCTTCTTTGGAAAGATTACATAAATTAAAATGTCATGGTCCAGTTGGGTAAGATTTCATTTATTTAAATTAATGTAATTTTGTGAAAATATGAGTGCATGTGTGCGTGCGCGCATGTGAACGTGTATGTGTCGTAATAATATATATAGATAAAAAATTTAAAAATATATAAAATTAGTATTTTATTTTAGGCAAGAGTTTTCATATACGAAACTGCAACAAAAACGTGCTAATAAACCAGGTTCTTATTTAGTTAGAGAAAGTGAAACAGAGTACAATGTATATTATTTAGATGCATGCAATAAGGAAGGAAAATTATTTTCCAAGAGGATAGAAGAACGAACTGTGTCAGATGATTTCATTATTACTGGTGTTCCTGGTCGATACAATACATTAGCACAGTGTGTTTTATCTTTCCAAGATTCTGAAGGACAGTCATATCTTTCAGAATGTTTACCACCTTCGGAATATGGTAAATTAAGAACATTTCTTTAGTTTTACTTTGAATTGTAATGATAATTGAATTGTAAGTAACAGAAAGAATTAACTTGTATTTTAGATAAATCATCATTACTACTTTGTGCTCCTGAAAGTGCAGTTAGTGAAGTTGCAGCGGATGAAGAAATTGTTGCTTCAGTTTTAGAAACTGGACCTCGCTGTGTACCGCAAAATCAATTAGAAATTTACAAACCTTTCTTAAGAACTGGTAGAATTCAACAGTATTCACCAACAACTCTCCATAGGGCAATTTGGAGATTAACCAAAGGAAAAAAATTAGAAGTTGCTTTGAAAATTTTAAAACAAGAGGAAGAAACAAATTATACAAAAGAATTTTTAGAACTTGCTGGGAAATGGTCCCAGTTGCGATCAGGCACTCTTGTAAGGTGAATAACAGTACTTTAAATAAATTAAATAATATAATAAAAATATTCTAAATCATAATGTAAAAAATATTAGTAATTTTTTTAAATTTCTATCTCTCACATTAATAATACAATGATTTTATATGTTCTAATAGATTGTATGGTCTAACAGTAACACCATCCATTGGAATGCTTCTAGAATTGGTACGACATGGTTCTCTTGATGAATATTTACGTAGTCCTTCTTCTCAAACTATCAAAACTGTAGATATGGTAGAAGCAACAGCTTGTTTAGCCACTGCTCTTTGGCATCTTGAAGAGAACGGTATAGTTCATGGTAACATTAGATGCAATAAATTGCTAGTACATGCCCACACCACTAACAGTTTTGTAGTAAAACTTGCCGATCCAGGAATATTTGTATATACAGAAACAGATATTCACTGGTTACCTCCAGAAACTTATAATGATCCAGAATTAGCTAGATATAGTTTTCAAGCAGATGTTTGGGCTGTTGGAACAACAATTTGGCAAATATTTGCTAGGTAAAGCATTTCAATAAACGAAGTTTATTAACTTTTCGTTATTTTATCATATTTATTATATTATATTATATTTATTATATTATATTTATTATTTGATTAATTATAGAATTGTTTTTTATAGTATAGAACTATATAAAATAAATTTGTTTTAATAATATGAATTATAAAACATTTGTTTCAAAATGCGTATGAAAAAATATATATTTATTTTTAGGGGAGTCACATTACAAGAATTCCGAAATGCTGATGCTATGAAGAAATACTATAAATCTGGAAAACGTTTAACTATTCCAAATGGTTGTCCTATGGAAGTCTATAGATTAATGCTTGAATGTTGGGGAGATTCAAGTGGTTCTAGAAAACAACCTCAGGCAATTATGAGAGACATAAATCAAATACTATATCAAGTATATAATTCTCGTAGAAGTCATGCATATGCAACAGCATTTCCTAAACTGTTTAGTTCTGAAATGAAAAAATTTGAGCAAGATAATTCTGACTCCAGTGATAATAAATCACTAAATAGTGAATCAAGAAGTAATAGTTTTTCTACAGACAATACGAGTCTCAGATGGAATGATACTGACGATAGTAAGAATCTTATTCGCTATAATAGTTTTTAAACAAAATTTTTCAATTTACATTATTTTAATTTTAGGTATGCAGGGTTTAATCAACACCAACGAAGATAGCACAGAAGACTTCTCTGCATATTTAGGTTGGTTATCAAGTGCAAGAAGAGATTCAGAAGGGTGTTCAATCTCTCAAAATAATATTCCTAATATGAACTGCATTGAACGCTCCACTCAAGTTTTGCGAATAGGACACCCTAGTGATTTAGGCGAGGTAGTAAAATTGAATATTAATATTAAATATATTTTAGCGTTCAATTTTAACAGTTGTTATAAGTAAAATAATTTAATCAAATTGTTTTTTTTCTAAAAATCAATATAATTTTAATTAATTACAATAAGAACAATTTTAACGTATAATATTAACTTAAAAATAGGTAATGGGAAGAAATGAATCTGGAACAGAAGATTGTGGTTCTGGAGGAAGTAGTAATGGTTCCTTAGGTCAAATGCGAGGCATTTATGAATTGGATATTGATGGTAACGTAATTTTACAAGGTAGAATTGGTCAAGGTTTTTATGGGGAAGTTTATAGAGGTACATTGGAAAGAGAAAATGGGAAAGATATTGAACCACAACAAGTTGCTATAAAAAAATTAAAAACAAGAGCACTTGAAGCAGATATAAGAGATTTCGAAAGAGAAATTGCTATAATGAAGGTTAATTAGTTATTTAATGACTTGTAATTAAATTATAATTGGATTGATATTGCAATATTAAAATTCCAATAAATTAATAAAATTACAGACTCTGAAACATCCAAACGTTGTGGAAATTTTGGGGGTAATATCAGAACCTGAAGTTTATCTAGTAATGGAATATGTAAAACACGGTTCATTGCAAAGTTATTTATCAATTCATAAACAAGAATTGACACATAGAAGACTGTTAGGATTTGCTTTAGATATTGCAACAGGAATGGATTATTTAGGTAGCATGAGTATTGTTCATAGAGATCTTGCTGCAAGAAATATTTTAGTTGCCGATGAAAATAAAGTTAAAATCAGTGATTTTGGATTAGCTCAAGTTACTGGAAAAAATGATTATTATATTTTACAAACTGATCGGGGCCTTCCTATTAAATGGTAAGTCACAAATAACGAATGTATTCTTGATGTTTTATTGAAATTCTTATTCTTTTTTTCTTTTTTTAAGGTATGCTCCAGAAAGTATCAGAGATGGAAAATTTTCCACTCGATCAGATGTGTGGTCGTTTGGCGTAACAATGTATGAAACATTTGGTTTTGGAGAAGAACCACGTTTACCTGGCCTTGATTCAAGTACGGAACGTCTTCAAAATGAACAAGAGAAAGGAAGCACTGAATTGTTAGCTGCATTAGAAAGAGGCACTCGTCTTCCTTGTCCGTCTACTTGTCCACAAGCAATTTATGTAAAACTTATGCATCCTTGTTGGCACTTACAAAGCCACCAGAGACCAGATTTTGCAACTCTTTGCAAGGATATTAAAGATCTTCTTGCTCAATATTAAAAAAGAAATGAAAAAAATGTATAAAATGAAACGTAGGTAATATATTATTTATGAAAATTAAACTTCAGCTTTGAAAAAATTTTTATAATTTTAATTTTAATAATTTATAAAAGTTTGATATATTTTAAAATTTTTTAATTTATAGACATTGAATAAATAAAAATTGATACATTTGAACTTAATTTTAATTTTTATATATAAAGTTAAAAAATAATAATTGTTAAGTAAATGTAATTATTGTAATTAATAATTCAAAGAGAATATTTTTTGTTATTCTATATTATTTACTTTAGCATTAAAAAATAAATTGTAAATTTGTAAAAAGATATTTAGTAAAGGTAAAACGAATTCCTAGAAGAAAATTTTTTCTTTGTGTATATATAGGAATTCTTTTTACCTTATAATTATACTTCCTAGAATAAAGAAATTGATATTTTTGCTTTTTATGAGAAATAAATGATTATTATTTCACTAATTACAACAAAATTAAGATTAAAATAATATTTATACAAATATATTATGAGGTAGATAGTTGCAATTATACATATATTTAATGCAATAAATGTTAAAAAATTAATTAAATTGATATATTAATTGGCATACTATTAAGAATTCAGTTTGAATTTAATCGAATTCATATAATACTAATGTATCTTTTCACAATTTTAATTTTTGAATATATTTCTTTATTTGTAAAATACATGTATACATATCCAATATATGTATATTTGCATATAATATACAAATGTACTCATAATGTTACAAAACTTGAATTACTTAAATATCTTAAATTATTAATATCTAATATATGTACATATGTATAAGAACGTAATTTTTGTAAATTAGCCAATATGTTTCTGTCAAAAGAACTTAATTTTTATTATTGTCTTAATATTTGTTTATTTTGTAAATATTTTCATTCAAAATGTATATTTTAAAAGTACTTTCTTAATTTAAGCTATATAATATTTCTATAAAAATTTGATTACATCGATAAATAATTTAATTAATGTTGAAAAATATTAAACCACAATAAATTTTTAATTAAATTATTGTGATATATTTTGAAATATTCTAATGCTAATAAAATTACAAAGAGTAATAAGAGAAATAAATAAAGAAGTGCTTACATTTAATTTTTTTACTTTATTTTCATTATGTATACATACAGATATATATTACATATATAAACAAAATTAGGAATTTGAATTAGCATTGGGTCCACGTCGACGACTATAAGTTTGAACAACATTAACGAATCTTCGATTATATTGAATCCGCCTTTTAGCTCGACCAGTTTTCTTTTTACTCTTTTCTTGTTTTTCTACCTGCGGAACAAAAAATGATATTTAAAATAATATATAGAAAGAAGGTAATGAACCAAATTACGAAATTAAGATAAAACTGATATGATACATTTGAAAAAAAAAGTAGTTTATGTATGTATTTAGTATGTAGTTTATAACTGTTCATATCAGTCTGTTTTAGTAAAACTTTATTAAAATACATTTGCAAAAGGATTTTTTATTTTTATAAGTTCTAACAATTTATTTTAATATTAAAGCATAAAAATAGACAGGCATACTAGTACGAACAGTTAGTTCTATATTTCATAATTTTTTAAATAATATAAGAATTTTATTTAATAATTTCATATAATTTGTTTTCCAATCAAAATACATTAAAAAAAGTGTTTGCTATTACATTTTATTTTAATAACAATCTGTTATTATTTATATATAAATTTAGAAAATTCTTAAAATAAAACTTCTATTTTTTATGTAGATCATTTGTGCCATGAGCAGTTATTTTATTAGAATTTTTATTTTCATAAAAGTATAAAAAAATTATAAACTAATAAAAGTGTACTTGATAATAATGTAATAGACACCTAAAATTTGCAGTAATTATAGAAATATGATACAAATACAATTAATGGAGAAATCTGGAATATTTATAGTTCTAAATATTTTGAATGAATACATACTATGTATATCTTTTGAAATAATTATTCTAGTGATTATTCAAAAAAATAATAATGGAAAACATGTCTATTTACTCAATTACATTGTTCTAATAAAAAAATGTAGAAATTTTTGAATGAAATATTTCATGAATTTCTTAGTGATAAAATCGAGATAGCTGCTGATTATCTGTAATTTTTCATATTTGATGTTTTATTTCTTTCTAAATAATTATCTACGTATAAATGTTTACATGTTGATCATATCTTTGAAAAAAAGAAAGAAGTTTTTGAATAACACTTCAAACCAAATATCCTGGATTTATATGACATTGAATAAATCATACCAATACAGTTAACATTTGAAGTGTTAAGAACTAATATGATTCCAAACTGTTTGCATAAAAATATTTTAACTGTTTTAATTCAATTTGACTTTGAATTGATTTTAAAATTTAGTAAAACAGTTTCTCTAATAATTATTTTTCTTTAGCCATATATAGTTCATTAAATTACCTTTGGTGTTTGAGCTTTTACTTTTCCAGCGCGAGCTAAAGACCCGTGGACCTTACCTTAAAAATTAAGATGATGTTAATATTAAAATAATTTTATATTTATAACATGAAATATTAATAAATTAAAAAAATTTTTTTTAATTGTGAGAACTTACCACCAGGAAGAGAAACTGTTAATTCTAAAACATTTGATGTAAGATCTCCAACTAAAGTATCATTTTGTAATAAAAGGCCAGAACAATATAAGTTAAATTCTGTATTTACAGCACCCTCTGTCTCTACAATTTTTTTCTGAAAAAACAATTATAACAAAGTTTAATTATTATCTTATGCTATTATAACTACATTATATTATTTACAATTTTAAAATTTAATCTCTTATCACTTCTCAAAAAGAAGGATTTTATATCAATCATTTGCAAAATATTTTTTATAATGATAAGATATTAAAAAATATAAGTGAAGATACATCCTAATATGATTTTTCTATTGTCTAATCACAAATCAATATTGTTTCATTTAAAAATCTTAAATTTTATTTAACTTAACTAGACTACAGATTCTTCTACATTTTTAAATTTTTACAAACATAATAAACTTAAAATAGAAATTTATATAGTTTATATACCGTGTATAATATTACATGTAAAAATCTACAATTTGTAATTTGTTGACATATGTTCGCGAATGGTGAGCAATAAAAATTTATTTGTCCACCAGCTCATAAATGTCATTTAATATTGCGTCGTTGCTCTTTCCAGAGACATTAAATTATGACTCTAGATTATCAATGCGACGCAAGCAATTAGATATAAATATATACAAACATAATTATTAATTCTAATAATTATTAAAAAGTAAATTTAATTATTAAGAAGTATATATTACATATTATATAATTTATGTTTATTATAAATAATTGAACTAAATTATTGAAAATCCTCAAAAATAAAAATATAGAAAATTATGATAAAAAGCAATTTATTTTAAATTAGTTTTAATGTATTAATATAAGATTTAATTATTAAATATTGATATTCAATAATTAAATTTCATATTAAATGCTATTTAATATAATATTAAAATATAAGATTAATATGAGTCTTATTATAATATATAATATAAAATACAATATAATTTTCTGTTACAAAAGAAAAATTATCAGAAAAAACATTTATCATGTTAAATCAAATTCTGTCTTATTTTAATATATATTATAAAAATGATACTATTATCTTTTTATCATACCTTTAAATTTGCAATAGTTTCATTTTCATGTGATTCGATCACAGTCGTACTTTCTCCTCTGATTTGCAACTGCATGTTTGATCTATATACAAAAATGTAATTCAATGTTTATATTTTTTTATAAAATATTTATTTCATATGAAACTCTATTGTTGTAACGTGAATAACTATAAATATATATGTAAGAATTATATGTATACCTTGTATTGACTCAACATATCTGGATATACTGAATATTATTCCAGTATGCTAGGTATACATTTTATATACCCTGTATACCTGGATACACTTACAATAGTATACCTAAGTATGTATGATATGTGTTTTTTTGTTTACTTGATACGTGTACACACATACACGCACGCGCACGTATACGTGTAGATTTAATACTAAATCTAATTCTACATAATTTAAAAAAATATAAACATACAAACATTTATACGCGTATATACATATACATAAACTATAAAAATATAAATATAAAATATAAATTTGCAAACCAACCGAATAAAAAAAAATGAACAAAGACGTTAACACGTGTCACAAAGACGATTAATTCTAAACTAATTATTTTTGTTGTTCACAAATTAAATAATATCTAAATAATATTATACTTTAATAAATATTTCAATATATACCGTATTTTAATAATTCAACTGCACAGTGCTTATCGTAGCAAAAATGTGGACACAGAAAAATTCACACCTTCTTACAATGACTTACAGCGTGATAATGGTGGAAAAGACTTCTGTGTGAAGTTGTCTCAAGTAACAGAACGATTGATGAATCGAGTTTCAAAATCGCAAATGGCGATCTATCGATTGTGAAGAAAATCATATTTTATTAATGTTTCGTTAAATTTTACATTTAGAATCTTTAAACAGAGTATTATCTAAAATTACATATCGCAAAAAGTTAATGGAAAATTATTATTATTGGAAAATAAGAAATAATTAATTAAAATATAACACGTAATACATTTTGTATATATGTAGACTTGCATATAAAGAGATTATTAATTTTTTTTCAATATAAAAAAAGTTGTATTTAAAGATATAAAAATTAAACTGATATTTCTTAAAATATTGAGTTTTTAAATAAAGGTAGTTAACCAATCAAATTTCGATATATATATATGTGTGTGTGTACGTGTATATATATATATGTATATACAATGTCGTGCATACTCGAATATTATCGAATATGAAAATTTTCCAACTGTTGTTACTGTAGCCTAACCTTAAATTAGTCAAATCAAGAATCAAATAATAAATCTTAAGAACATAATCTTATTTTTATTAATTTTGTCTTATTCAGATAGTGAAATTTGCAGATTCCATGGCATTTCCACTGAACGATCAGATTTACACAAAATCTTTTACACCTAGAGAGTACCAAGTAAGAGAGAGAATTTTTTTCAAGTATTTACAAGATTCTGTAAGAAATACATTTACATATGATGCTTAAAATAAATGTATTTGCAGGTGGAATTATTCTATGCTGCTAGAAATAAGGACATTATTGTCTGTTTAGGCAAAAGTTACGAACAAACTTTCATTGTTATAAAATTGATTCAAGAATTTGCTACAAATAACAGACGGTGAGCCAAATTGATTGTAATTAATTTTTGCTCTCTTGCATTATCGCATTAAATGTTCTTTGTCATTATGATTTATTCATTTAGATCATTAAGTAAAGGAGGGAAACGATCATTGTTTATATTAGCAGACGAAGAAAAATGTACAATTAAAGCTAGTTATATACAACAACTGACAGATTTAAAAATATTATTATGTAACGATTGTTTACTTACAGAATTTACAGAAAAATTCGAAACTTCTCATGTAAGGAACATCAATATCTTATGAGAAATATATTATGTACATATTATGCAAACGCTTCTGTTAATTTTCTTTATATCATCTCTTTTATTAGGTACTAATTACAACTTCTAAAATATGTGCACAATTATTAATAGATAAAAAGATTTTACCACATCAAATAAATCTAGTCATAGTTGATGAGTGCCATAAATCTATAGACAATAATGAGCTAAAAGTTATTTTGCAAACTTTCTTGGCATGTAACAATGTTCCTAGAATCATTGGATTAGCTGTACCATTGTTTAATTTAACCCAAGAGCCTGGAAGATTGGGATTTGAAATAGAAAAAATAAAAGATACATTTCAATGTGAAGTTGAAACAGCTAGTGATATATTATCTATATTACGGTATGTATATTTTAATATACAATATAAATCTTGCAATTAAGGTAAAAGCAAAAAATATTAGACGATATGAAATGATTTATCTCTCCATGGTTTTCCTTGTTTCATTAATAATAACATAACTAAAACAAATTTTTTTTCACAAAGAAATTTTTAAAAATATTGAATTTGTGAAATTAAACTATAACGTTATAATTTATAAGATAATTAAAATTTTATTATTTTTTTCATTCTTTTGTAGTTTGTTAATGATGATTGATACTATTAAATTTTAAGTTTTAAATACACTTTATCTTTAGTGTAATTCTATTCTGAAAGATATATGCATATTAAATTCCAAATTTTTTGAATATATTTAAAATTGAATATTATATTGAATATAACAAAATCATTAATTTTTTTAATATTATATCCTAATATAAATTACAAATAACTAGAATTTTATTTTAAAAAACTATAAATATAATGTATGATTCTAGCACATAATATTCTTACTTATTAATGATGGTTTTTTAAATAGGTACAGCCCTAAACCTAAAGAATATGTAGTAGAATATCCCACAAGTGAGGAAGGAGAATTACATATTACTATTAAAAATTATATATTACATGCTATGGAGTTTTTACGTGATCATCGTCATGATCCAACTGAAATTTATAATGAGGAATTCTATGAAGACATTCAAAAAATACCAGACCCTATAGATAAACCTTTTGAGATGATGCAAGATTTTTTATATATATTAGAAACTCTTGGACCATGGTGTGCAGATCGTGCTGCATTAGCTCTTTTAATTTTAACAGAAAAATTAAAAATAAAAACACCTTATGAAAGACATTACTTATTATTAAATATGGTAGCATCTGTTTTCACAAAAATACGAGCTTTATGTGATAATGCATTTGAAGTTTTATCTGAGAAAGAAAGAATATATAAATATGCTACGCCGAAGGTTCATCGATTATTGCAAATTTTGAAAACATATACACCATATTATACTAAGGATATCAATAGCACTGATAATAAACTAAATAATGAAAATATTTCTCAAAAATCAGTAAATAACAGAGAAAGTTCTACTAAAGATAAATTTGTTCAATCTAAAAAATTAGATTATAATTGGAAAAGTAATGAAGAAAATTGTAGAAAACCACCTAGAGCACAACGACACATGCGTGGTATTACTGATCCTGATTTACTTTGTGGAGTAATTTTTGTAGATAAAGCATTTGTAGCAAAAGTATTATTTTATTTATTAAATGAAATATCTATGCACGATGAAGACTTACATTTTTTGTCACCTCTTTATACAATTGAAAGAAATGTAGATGATATCAGTTATTCAAAAGATTTAGAAATAGAGCATAGAAAACAAGAAGAAGTTTTGAAAAGATTTAGAATACATGAATGTAATTTATTAATTTCGACTTCAATATTAGAAGAAGGTTTGTCATTAATTAATTTTTTATTGCTTTAGTTGATTAATATTTTATTAATGCCATTTACTAATATTATACTAATATGTTGTTTCACGTTTTTTAGGTATAGACATCCCAAAATGCAATTTTGTAATGAGGTATGACTTTCCAAAAACTTATCAGTCTTATGTACAATGTAAAAGCCGTGCAAGAGCCGCAGATGCATTATATGTATTACTGGTACCACAAGATATGTCAAAGGAGTATATATGGCAACTAGCCCAATACCATTACATAGAAAAGGTATCAAATTATGGTATATTATCTTTCATAGTTACTTTAATTATTCGTTATGGTAAAATTTATTGGAATATATAAACTGGATCTGATGTTCGATTAATGACTATATTGTCTGCTCGATTTAATTTAGTCATAAACTTCAGTGTGTACCAGTTTTAATATCAGCAATTTAATGTGGCTCATTACCTGTGTCCATCCCAATCGAAAATTTTATTGGAAGAGCATCAATCTATTTTGTAGACTTTGTTAATAAAATGTTCTAATAACGAACCGTCTGAAGAAGAAGAAAACGAAGCAGATATGTATGCTGCTATGATACCACATTATAAACCGCTTGATGGAGATGATGCACCTAAAGTTACTTTTAATTCTGCTATATCGTTAGTAAACAGGTAGTATGAAATGATGAATAAAAGACAATAAAAAACATTTTAAATATTTTATAATTACAATTTAAGAAATTATTATATTTTATTTTATAAAATTTTGCTTATCTAGATATTGTGCAAAATTACCTAGTGATACTTTTACAAGATTAACTCCAGAATGGTCTATTCAAGAAATGAATGTTGATAGTACACTTATGTATATATGTTCTTTACGACTTCCTATAAATTCTCCAGTAAAATATGTAGTATCTGTAAATATTTTTATTAAAATTTAGTATTAAGTTCTTTTTAATGTAGATTATCGTATGTTAAATATTATTATTATTATTATTTTAGTCATGTCCTATGCCTAATAGAGCCATGGCAAGACGAATGGCTGCTTTACAATTGTGTATTGATTTACATAGAAAAAATGAAATAGATGATAATTTGTTACCTATCGGGAAAGAAAATTTTAAAGCTAAACCAGAAGATGCAGAAGTACCTGCTCTACCAGATGAAAGTAAAGTGGATTTTTCTGAAGCTCGGCCAGGAACAACTAAACGAAGACAATACTATTATAAAAAGGTTTTATTCATATAAAATAAATATTATAATAATATACATATATATATATATATAATTATATATATAATCATATAAAATAAATATTATAATAATATACATTTTATTTTATTTTAATATTAAATAATATTTTTCAGACAGCTGAAGCATTGACAGATTGTAGGCCAATAATTGGAGTTCCTTCTTATTTATATCATATTAATCTAGTTTTGAGTTGTCCCTTACCTGAAGAACAAAATACAAGAGGTCGACGTATATATCCTCCTGAGGAGTCAGCACTTGGTTTTGGTATAATAACATTAAAAGAAATTCCCAAGGTAATAACAACATATAAATTCTTTACAATGTTATAATATTAATCATGCATATAGGATAATTAATATTTATCTTTTTATTTTAGTTATGTCCATTTCCTATTTATACTAGGTCTGGAGAAGTTCATGTAAAATTAAAACTTAGTAAACAGACTATAATTTTAAATGAAACGCAAATAGAGAAAATTGCTACTTTTCTTAATTATACTTTTACAAATGTATTAAGATTGCAACAATATTTAATGCTTTTTGATCCTAATGCTTCAGAGAATTCATACATGATAGTACCTGTAAAATTAGGTAATTGTAAATATTCTTAGAAACTTCAATATTATTATTTATTTCATGTATTTGATATGTATTATGGGGTTGAATATTATATGCATATAAATCTATTCTTAATAGATGGAGAATTTGATGTCACTGTAGATTGGTACTTCTTAGAATGTATATATGCAAATCGAAATGCAGGGCCAACTAAAATCCCTGAAGAAGACAGAAAAGATTTCAAGTTTGATGCATCCAAATATCATGATGCAGTAATCATGCCTTGGTATAGAAGTCAAGATCAACCTCAGGTATTTTGACGAGAATTTGATTTGTGAATGAAAAAATGTCACAACTGAAATATATTTATTATATATATTATATTATATCATTTTGTTTGTTTCAGTACTTTTATGTTGCTGAAATTTGTACAAATTTAAATCCGAAATCTTCTTTTCCCGGTGATGATTATAGCACTTTCGAAGAATATTATCTTAAAAAGTATGGTATACAGATACAAAATTTAGATCAGCCTTTACTAGACGTGGATCACACATCAGCTAGATTAAACTTTTTAACACCAAGGTAAATATGATATTATGTGTTTGTATTATCACATTTATATCACAAAGTGTCGTAACATCGGTGGTACATTTCCCATTTCGGCGAGAGAATGATTTTACATGAAAAAATATTACTGAAGCTGGAACAATTTGTATTTACATTAAAAATTTTATCTTAGATATGTTAATCGAAAAGGTGTTGCTTTACCAACAAGTAGTGAAGAAACAAAACGGGCAAAACGGGAAAATTTGGAGCAAAAGCAAATTCTTGTTGCTGAATTATGTGCAATTCACCCTTTTCCAGCTTCACTTTGGAGACAAGCAGTTTGTTTACCTTGTATTTTATATAGAATCAATGCTTTATTACTTGCTAATCAAATACGATGCCAAGTTGCACAAATGATAAATTTAGGACAGCAAAATTTAAGTTATGGTACATATAAAACAAGAATTATTTTCAAATGTATGCTTTTTGATTTTAATATGAAAATATTTTAGATTTTGAATGGCCAGCATTAGATTTTGGATGGAGTTTAGCAGAGGTTTTAAAGAAGTCTAAAGAATCTGAGAAAGCAAAATTAGGCAAGAATGAAACCATCCAAAAAAATTCTGCAAATGATAATAATTGTCAGAATATATCCAAAAGTATAATTGACAATTTACATAAATCGGATAAGGAAGATTTAAATGAAAATGATTACGAATTTCAATCAAAAAGTGATAAAATAATCGAAACGGAACAAATATCGAACGATGAAAATGAATTAGAAATCGGCACTTGGTCGAGTGATATGGCAATGAATTCCCTAGATTTTGAAGCAAATAATTTAAAGTCATTTCCTTTGAATGTAACCGTTTTGCCAAGTGACATTAACTGGAGTGATATTCGATATGGATCTCCCGCATGTGAATCAGATTTTGACGGTTATGAATCGGATGATATTTACAGCGATGGATTTGTCGATAGTTCTGATGAAAGTGAAGATGAAAACAGAGGGTTACGAATTTCTTATATGGGCGAGAACGTTGCAGAAGCTGTAGAAGACGAAAAACAAATATCTAAACAAGAAATCAATAAAAAAATCTTGGATTTGTTAGAAACTGAAAAAACTTTGGACGATGCTTTATGGTCGTATGCGGAAGAGGAAGAGAGCTCTTTAATCGCAAAGCACAGAGAAGCTCACTACGAATTTGCCAAAGTAAAAGAATATGAGATAGTGCAAAGTGGATCTTTCATACCCTGTGATAGCGAAATTATAATTAAAAGAAAAGCTTCGTGTAGCTTACAGTTTGAAGAGAATTTGCCAAATTACGAGCATAAAGCGTACGTAAAAACTATAGTCGAGAAATTCACTAAAGAAATATTAAATAATAATAACGGTGTACAGTCAATTAAAAAGGATTCTAATATATCAAAATTTACATATCACGCAGATAGTAATCTTTTTAGTTTTGACTTTCAACCAGAATTGGAAAATCATCCGGGCCCAAGTCCCAGCTTAATTTTACAAGCTTTGACTATGTCAAACGCAAACGATGGTATTAATTTAGAACGTTTAGAAACTATTGGTGATTCTTTTTTAAAATATGCAATAACTACTTATTTATATTGTACATATGATAACATACACGAGGGCAAGCTTAGTCATTTAAGATCCAAACAGGTATACAGAATTCAAATTATTAATTAGCTTTATTGACTATGATAATCTACTTTAATGTAATGTTTTTTTTTTTAGGTCAGTAACTTAAATTTATACAGACTAGGAAGACAAAAAATGTTAGGTGAGAGTATGATAGCAACAAAATTCGAACCGCATGATAATTGGTTACCTCCTTGTTATTATGTACCAAAAGAACTTGAACAAGCATTAATCGAATCTGGTGTACCTTCTACATTATGGAATCAAGCTGACATTCCAGCTTTACAAGCTGTAAATCCTTCTGAGATAACTCAATTGGTTAGAGAAACGGAACAAAAATTGGGTGTCATGAAAAACGAGCTTGATCGGAATGAGACATCACTTTCAAATAATTTAGATAACATGCGTTGCTTTATACCGTACAATTTAATTACGCAACATAGCATTCCTGATAAGAGTATTGCGGATTGTGTGGAAGCATTAATTGGAGCTTATTTAATTGCTTGTGGATCTAGAGGCGCATTACTTTTTATGACTTGGTTAGGCATTCACGTGTTACCTACGGAAGAAATTACCATTGTACAAGAATTAGAGCCCAAAGAAAGAATTCCAGGTAGCACTCCTTATATAAAAGGAAGTAATGAAAAGGGGCAAACAACATGGACACAGGTACCTATTGATTTACATAATAGCTATAAATGAATATCTTAAGTCACGCTGATTATTGCAGATTCATTACGGAAAATTAGAAGAGCCGCAAAATCCCTTACTTCGATATATTTCTGATCCAGAACAAGAATTGAAAATGATGCTCGATGGTTATGAGGAGTTAGAAAGAAGTATAGGATATAAGTTTCACGACATTAGTTATTTACTACAAGCATTTACTCATGCATCATATCAACCTAATAGATTGACAGATTGTTACCAACGGTTAGAATTTCTTGGAGATGCTGTTTTAGGTAGTAAAAATAAATTAAACGAATTTTACTGTCCTGTAACTTTTAATAGTGAAGAATTTAATATAGGAATTTATAATTTTAGATTATTTAATAACAAGACATTTGTACGAAGATGCTCGACAACATTCTCCAGGTGCTTTAACAGATTTACGATCTGCTTTAGTTAATAATACTATATTTGCTTCTTTAGCTGTAAGATGTGGATTTCATAAATATTTTCGACATCTTTCTCCTGGTCTAAGTATTGTTATAAATCGTTTTGTTAGGATTCAAGAAGAAAATGGACATTCCATTAGCGAAGAAGTAAGGAACTTCAGACAGATTTACCCATATTTATACATTTATGTCTATATTTGATTATTATTATCATTTATTTTTTTTAGTATTATTTAATTGGAGAAGAAGAATGCGAAGAAGCTGAAGATGTAGAAGTACCAAAAGCTCTAGGTGATGTTTTTGAATCATTAGCTGGTGCAATTTATTTAGATAGCGGAATGTCTTTGGATGCTGTGTGGAGCGTCTATTATGCAATTATGAAGAATGAAATTGGTAAGTTTTTTAAATACGTTTTATTTGATTATAAATAAGTTTTTTTATAAAAAGAAATAAATACATTATATTTTGTATACATTATATTATTTTAGAGCAATTCAGCACCAATGTTCCTAAATCTCCAATTCGTGAATTATTGGAGCTGGAACCTGAAACGGCAAAATTTGGAAAACCAGAAAAATTAGCTGATGGACGAAGAGTCAGAGTTACAGTGGATGTGTTTGGTAAGGGCTCTTTTAAAGGAATCGGAAGAAACTATAGAATTGCAAAATGTACTGCAGCGAAATGTGCTTTAAAGAAACTGAAAAGAATGCAGAATTATTCAAGAGATAAACTATGATAGCATATACAATATTAGATTAAAGTGAAAACATAGAATAGTATAAATTTCTGTAATATTGTTATATTTCTATAATATTGTATCCATAAATACGTATGAATTTGTAATATAAACAAATTTTATGTATTTTAGCCTAAAATAACATTTCAACAATAGGACAACATTTACAAATTTCATATTATATATAACTTATAATGAAATTTATTATTGCATTTAATGAAAGAAAATTTTGAGAAAGAAGCATAAATATATCTTATACTGTAAATATTTAAACAACAACCATATAAAAAGTACTTAAACTTTCTTAAATATGCTATGTTGAAATATGTACTTTTGATATTCAAGTTACAAAAATTTTTTTATTTGATCAATTAACTAAGTAATTTTTTTATACAACTAGACATCTTTTGATTATTTCATCAATTTATAAATTACGCAAATTTATTATTTATAAATTTTTCTCAAAATTCTAGTCAACATTTAGCATTATTTCTTATACTATATAAAAATAGTTTTATAATATTAAAAAAATTTTGATAGAAAAAGTTTGTTATAGTAGAAATATACAATAAATATATATATAGAGGTAATTACAACTATATTAGGATAATTAAATTTATAATAGTTAAATTTAAAAAGCGACTGTTCATAATATTAACATCTTTTTTCTTAATTTGTTTATTATAATTTACATATAAATATAAATATAAATTTTCATTTTTTTTTGTTAATAATCATTATTTAGTAGTTTCAATATCAAACAAAATTAAAAAAGTATATATGTTCCAAAATGAAAATTACAATTTTATACAATTTAAAATTGTCATGCAAAATTTATAAATTAATAAACTTATATATGTAAATGGTTGAGTTACATATCAGTCATATTACATATATCTTTTTTTATGTTAATTAGTTATTTGGATATGTAATAATATAATCATTGTGTAACCAGTAGTATTACATTTTTTTGTAAGGATAAATATTTGTCATGTAAATTATAAGAACTTTTTTGTAATAAATGTTTTTAATTATATAAAATAAAAAGAACAAGTTTTAAATAGTATCACAAAATTGAATTTTTTAAATATAAATATAATATTATAACATTATAACATTACATTCGAAATAACATTAGAAAAGTTTGTGAAATATAGTTCATATTTACAATTTAAAATCATGTTTATATTTATTCAAAATTAAAGTGTTAAGAGCCAAATTGGCTATAAAAAAGAGCTATAGCAGGATCTTCACATTTGCATGTAATTAATACATCTCGAAACTTATCTAGGATCTGCAATAATTGCGATCTACGAATATTTTCTAAATACATAATCTCCTCTAAATGATGGCCTCCGTTAAAGTAACCAAGGCGGCATAGTCTGTCGAGTAGTTTTCTATCATCAGAAGGAATATCATAATCTTCTGATTGATAATTGTATATTCCATTCTCTTTGTGAAGTGTCATTGATAATTCTTCATTTAGATCAGCTGAAGTACTTTTTGTAACATCATTTAAATTACATGCATTACTATTTTCTGCGATTTCATTTATATTATGATTCAATTCATCTTTTGCATCCTTAAAAAAATAATAAGAAATAATAAGAAAAGATGAAGGTTACAGTTTAAGAGATGAATTTCTTTGAACTTACCAAGGATACTCGTCCATGCACAGTTGGCATATATTGTACGTACGTATGTAATTGTAAAAGTAAATGATTCTTTAGTAGCCATATTATTATTTTTACTAATTGCGTTTGTTGCTGCGATTGACTCAAAGGATTTAATTGTTGACTTATAGAAGTTGGTAGTGAAAAATCACTAAGGACCTACATCAACAGAAATTTAATTTTATATGTAATTCAAATGATGTAAAATAATGTACAAAATTTTTTTACGTACTTGCAAGAGACAAAGCCCTGGAAATTCTTCAGAAAATACCTCTAACAATTGACTTGTGATAATAGCATCTGGTGATACAACATAAACATTGCTTTCACAAAGAGGGTAAATTATAGTAGCTTTAGCCCAATATATTAAATGACCAGTCAATTGGAAAACTTGAGTTAATGTTAAATCAGAGTCAGCAGCTAGAGTTTGTAGACTTTTTAGAGGACTATACATTTGAATTAGACGTTTAAGAGCAGGAGAAGAATCTATCGGGAGTGAATCCAATAAATCTAAAGGTTCAATGAGTAACAGTATACCATGATAAGGCTTTAAACTGTTCAAACATCTGCAATGAAGTTCAACAATTTAATATTTACTTTGATTTGTAAGAACTGAATATATTACTAATATACTAACTTATCTATTATTTCTGGATTAATAACAAATCCTTTTTTGTGAGACTGATGAACCTTTTGTGGAAGACAGAAACGTACTTGAATCCATTTATTGATCATAATATTAATTATTCCAGAAGTTGTTAGACTGCTAAACACAGATTTTAGGTCGCGCGAAAGTGAACTCCTTTGCAATATTAATTCATACGGTGATTCGTCGCAATCACTTTCACCTTCTGATCTATAAATGTATATGACAAGTTTTAATTGTTACTTTTTTTAAATCATACATGTAATTCTATATACCTGGTAGCAACTTCGTCGTGTGTAGATACCATAATTTTTATCTCTTCCGTTAAAAATCCGCATCTCTTTTCTTCATGTCTCAGAGCTATGCCCAACCTAAGACGAATAACGCTTGAAACTTTGTCTTTTCACATTGTCATGCGTTTGTAACACAGTATGACAAACCTTCTACTTAAGTCATAGTAACATTTCACTATAGAGTGACTGGCTTGAGCTTGCAGAGCAAAAACTATATTGAAAAGCATTGAAGAATTGACCTCCTTCATTCCATGAGACGGAACAAGGGTTGGATGCCCAACAAAACGGACATCGTTTACTTTCAACTCGAACTTCTGCTCGCATAGTTCTGGCTTAACAGCAAATAACGTCGAGAGCACTTCGTCGGTTACTCCGGTTAAATTTCCGTTGTTTATGTTGGAAATTGGGAAAGATGAGGACTTGAAATGAAATGTCGAACGTTAACAAATTGCTTTGCACGACAATATCGGATGTCGGATTAATGACGTGTTGTCGCAAAACAAGCGTGAAACTGACCTGCAATAAATCCTCCGTGATAGTCAGCGAATAAGGATTTTTTCTTCTAGTGCATTGATTCGAATCTCGTGTGTGTTTCGCCACATGCGGATATCGAAATAAAAGTCTGTCACCTTTGCTATCGCTTTTTACGAGAATTATGCTCAATGGATTTATCTCCATGATCGCGGTTAACTACAGACTCTGTAACTGTAGAGGTTATGCGAAATTCTCTCATTAATAAATCATCGGTCGTGGAATTTTGTTGATCACAAGCGAGCGTAACGAATATATTCGATCATGAAGATTCGAAGTTACTACAAATTCAATACACATAAATATCATTTTCAGGAGTAACAGTTTTTTGACATATTGCTCACATTTTACCGGAACCACGCGGTTTCGACATTGCATCATTCTGAAATTATTAACAGATGTGCGCAAAATTTTTTGAAAAGATTGTTTAAAAATTTTCACGCTAAAAATTCGTACACAATATATCATTGCAGTTGATCATTTAATTGCACATTTGAATAGTCCAATTATTTGTCGGTGTTCAGTATTCTGATTATGGTAGTAACCATCCATGCGTTTATCATTCTTTTTCCTCCTTTGAATACTATATAAATTTTTCGCTTCTCAATCATGTTTAAAATATGTTTAAATAAAATTTATATTTTTATTTGAAGGACGATGACCCGACCGTCCCATACTAATTATTGTAACTAATAAAATACAGAGTTAAAATATAAAAAAGTTTGAGAATAACTCTTGGTCACTGGTCTGATTGCACACGTACTTATACTACTAATAATATTCGTTTGAAAAATTTTTCACTTTGATAAATTTCATTTATCCAACTGGTTCCTATTTATATATTGTTGCATTTACATTTCATAGTTTAGAACGAATCAAAAATAAAATTTACAAAATTATATATATATATATAGAATGTAATTATAACTTTCAAATGCTGTAAAATTTTAATATAGCCCTGTGATCGCATATGCATACAGTACTTTGAAATTTCACAATGTTATTTATTCACAGTATACTTTGAATAGTTTGAATCTTGCGATTACGCAACAATTGTTTCGTCAGTATGCAATAAATAAATATATTAAATTGTAAATTTTTTACAAAATAATACATATCTTTATGACAATTTTTTAATGATAATTTGACCGCAAACTAATGAAATTAATATTATTAGTTCTTTCTGAGGTGTGTACGTTACGCGTAAAATATTATCACGCGAATAGAAATGGAATGATATTATTGTTATTGTTGCAGGCGGAAAGAGCAGACCGGCGGAGAAGTTTTCTCCGCCGCTCAATACGACAACGCGTGCGCTTTTCTTCCAGGGAAGTCAGTAGTCGTTCTAATGGTACTTTCATACGAGGGTGTCGCTTAAGGGTGAGAATGTACTTTTCGGTGTTATTGTTGTTTGCTTCGTGCTTGAGAATAAATAAGGCAATGCGTATCATTGCCATCTATTCTTTATATTGAATGAAAGGTAACATGAATGTCGGCATTGAAAATTGTTAGGTGTTAATTAATCGAGAAGGAGCAAAGGATAAACGAGATGTAACGATTGTAATTTCATAAATATATCAAACATACGATCATGTTTCACTAAACACGTAATAAATATTGAAATAAATAAATTGCATTTACTTGACAAAATAACTTACTTCGTTAACTTCGTTAATTGTTTATCTTGGACAAATTACAAAATCTAATTTATCGAACGGAAGATAAATGGCTCGAGCAATTTTTCATTTCGTTTCAACGATAGGACGGAAATTAGTTGATCATAGAATTAATTGTAATTATTTCAGGCTGTTGCTCCAATTATTCTATTTAGAGATTAATTGATTACCTATATTTCTATGTTAACGACAGATGCGAAATTTTGACTTGACAATGAATAATTCGGGTTGTGCGACTTGTACACTCGAACCACCGCCTGATATTCTTCATATACCGCCGCCGCCGTTTCCAGCAATTCTCCAACAAAGCTCCGACTTTTATCCGCAAACGGACTTGTTATCGTTTCCGCCTCACCTCAATGACAGCCCTTGCAAACATTTCTGCGACCGTCGCTCCGAAGGAGTTCAATACATAGAAATGCCGCAACAAGGTCTACAATTGCATTTTGAATTCAATCATTTTTTTATTCATTTATCTTTTCGTATCTTTAGCTCTAAGTTTTATTACATCACGTTTTTGCAATGCCTATAAAAAGAAGTTCAAAAAGGAAAAGTACGTGTATGCGAAGGAAAAGATATTAATAAGTAATTAAAAATGTATGTTAAACTTTTAGGGACAGTATTTGACGACACGTGGTTGCTGGTTCTACTATCCTCCTGCGCCGGTGTAATTTTCATAGGCATCGTACTAGCGATATTACTCTTAAAATGCAAATTGTAAGTTTACTTCTTTTATTTTTTTCTTTTTCATAAAAATAAAAAATTATCAGTTAAATATAAGTTAAATACGCGTAGAATACAATTGAATCGTGATTTTCTACTTTTTTTTTGTGAGATAGGATATCGAATAAATAAATGTGATCGAGTAAACAATAGAAACAACAATGTAAAAAGAAAAATCAATTTTTATTCTGTAGCAACAGAAATGGTAAGAGCGGCGTGATTTCCATACCAAACGCGACATCTAGCATACAAGCGAAGAACGGGAGGATTCAAAACGAGGCTGTTCTCTATCCCTGTGCAGCTGACACTATGCAAGATAGCCGTGTGATGTGGGCCACCCTCACACCACGAGGTACCACCAGACACTATCTGGAGGAGCATACTTACGAAACAATTGGCGGTGGACAATTCCACAAGCGTGCCTGTTCAACTACGCCAACTGAACATGTAAAACTTAAGGCAATTTAATATTTAATATTTGTATACGTAGTCATTAAACATTTGTTCGAAGTTTCGACAATTGTTAATAACGAAGAGTAATTGTAACTCTTTGAATAATGACAAAACGAAAACATTGTACATTGAATAATACGAAAAAAGAAAATGATGTATGTAAAAAATTGTATATTCCTCGAATGAGTTCAGGAAACATTTAAAATATCTGAAGACAGATTATTGATTTTTCAGACTTACGCAGATCCGCCGGTCACCACTCCAATTCAGAATCGCTTGAAGGACGACAAAGCCTTTGATAACACTGCATTTGTAGATTACGAAGAGCCATCGTTAATAAAAACTGATTATTACCAGCTCAATGATGTTCTGGAGTCAAACGATTCAGGCAATATTTTATTACTGCTCGACATTTTAATTCACGAATTAAAAGTTGACGTGACTAATTTAATTTAATTTCAATTTTAGGTATATCAAGAGGAACATCACGTCCACGTGTCAGTTCGCCAACACGAATCGAACATCCAAATTTACCACCCCTTAATCTCCACCCTCATAAACGTTCTTCTCGAAAAGGATCTGGTACACCACAAGCTTCGGATACATTATTAAGAAGTAGCATCACATCATCTACATATATCCCTACTATATAAATTTTACGTCCAATCTTTGTTATATTTAAAGGCTTATACAATAAGCAATGTACACAACACAAGTACATTTTGTATACGTTATCTTTACATCTAGTCACTATAAACAAGAAAAGAAAATAACTGCCAGTCAAATAAAACGACCTAGTTGTTAGCTAATACATGTAAATTATATATACTTCCTTCTTTAATTAATTTAAAATTCTAGTAATGTGATCAAGTTAGCATATTTAAATATATAACATTATGTATATGTTAAATTTGTATTGTGTATAAAATATATATCTAATAAAATTTAGAGATATATATATATATAAATTAATCCTATTTCATCTATATTTTGTTTTTGTCAAAAAAATTTTGTCATTCATCAACATTTATAAAATTGTTAAATAAATAACCAATATCGATAAAAAAATGAAAAATCTTGAAGTTATAGAAGTCAAAAATTCTTATATCGAAGTATACCTTCTAAATATTGCCAATTATCATGTAATATAACAAAAGCACAGAATTAAAAATGAAATTGGAAAGATCCTCCTCCATTAGGTGATAGATTGCAATAATAACAGTAATAACATTATACTCTTATCATTTTACATATTGTTTTCATAATAATATGTAATGTGTATATATTCAGATAAATTTTTTGACGGAAATGATAATGCTGATAATTATACTTTATAATCTTACATAAAATAATATGATATGATACATAGTAAAATCAGAAAGTATTTATAATAAGTAATTATAATAATAAATCCTAATTCTTAGATGATTGGATTTATTTTGTACTTGACTCACTGAAATTTTTGATAAAACTTAGTTAATTACGACCAATGGCTTATTTAATCTATTTTTGGAAATTATCACCACATATTGTAGAACAAAATATATAAAATGATTATAGTAAATTAATAAATATTTTAAGTTGATATTTACTTTATCTAAAAATAAAATCAAACTTGCTAGTGCTGGTGCTTGATTTAATAAATAAAAATAGAAAAGGAATTCATCAATAATAAGGGAATTTAAACTCGTGCTACAATAATTTAAGAAACTTCCGCTCTATCAACTTCATTACTACAGCATTGACTATGACTACAGTTATTGTGGCATAGTTAAATAATTTAATATTTCAACAATCAAAAATATTAAGTATTAAATATTTTTATAAATAATACGTATTGACAAAAATGGCTTATTTTTGCTTTGGATTTATTAGAAAAGAAATTTTATTAAAATTGATGACCCAATGATTATGACCTTTCCTTGTTAGATGGCATTTCTTGTTTGAATTTATGATCAATTCTTTTACTATTTTTTTTTTTTTTGTTAGATCCAATAATTTTTGTTTATTTTTAAAATACTTATACTAGAATTTCAATGAATATTGAAACTGGAACATTTGATATTCAACATATCTGATGTTTATATAGATAAAACAATCAATTTATAAAAGGAATATGCTGTATAAAACTGAACAAAAATAAGCTATTTTTTAAACGTTAATTAGAGCAATAATTACGATAAAGAGATATCTTTTTATTGTTATTTTCAAACTAAGGAAATCTATTTTATGAATTAACAATTTACAAGTATAAAATAAAAAGATATTAAATATCTTCAAGTGCATTATGTATTAAATATTATCAACTATATTCTTGCAAACTTTGTTTTTGTATAAAGATCCGATTTATGAAATGTGTTGATATTTACAGTTCTTTCTTTGAATTCTTTCAAGAAATTTCACAAATACTAGTTTTATAAAATCACCACACGTACATAATAAATTATGAATAAATATTTATACATATAGCTTGATAAATCAAATTTATAGTTTGACATTGAAATATTGGATATTAAAATAAAGTGTTTATAAAATAAACGTACTATAACCATAATTAAAAAACTTATGTTTTATTACATAAATAGTTTCAAACAAACTATATTTGTATGTTAGTTCTTAAATTTTACATTTATTTAAAATGAAGCATTATAATACATTGCATTTCCTTATTCTTTAATAAAGAATGTGCAGTAGCTAAATATTATATTTTTTTAATAAATGGATTTTGTTATTAAACTTAATTTTAATTTTCGCATGATGTTTTTATTAAAAGAAATAAATGTAAGTATTTATTACATTTGTTAACTTGTATTCAAAAATTACTATTTTTTTATATAGGAAATAATTAACATTTTATTTTTAAATGAAGATAATAATACAAAAAATTATACTGTGCAACGCTTTTTAACATTATGATATATGAACATTACTTTTCAATATAAATGTTGTCTTCAGAATATTTTGCTCAATAATAAACTCTTTTATGCTAAAATATTTTATAATTTTTGGAAGTTGTAAATTATTCGACTTACTCATTGTTGTCTAAATAAATAATATTTCTTTTATAAAAGCTTGGACTTTAATATTTCATAAATCATCTTATTTCGAAAATATGGCATATCCTGCTGAGTAAACGTGATCTTTTTATTTGCACAAATATATTCAGCAAACATACAAGAGAAGACTCCGCAATCACTTCCATTCATTTGTTGTGGGATATTTTTGGCACACTCTAACTTCCAGTTACTGGTATCGTAAGTTTGTTTTTTTTTATCCAAGCTTTCATCTTCTAGATATTGTCGTAGTGCTGACAAACACTTTGAATTGTTGCCTCCCATGCTGTCATAATAACGAATAGACTTATCTCTAAAATCAATTATTGACATACACCAATGGATACCTAAATGTATAGGAACAACTATAAGATCCTGTGCAAAAATATCAATTTTCCTAGTCCATCTTCTTAAGGATGAATGTCCACCTGAGACTAATTTTGGATAGAAAAATGTATTCATAGCATGTATTTTTGGATATTTGTCGTCATTAGCACTTCTGGCTATTAGTAAATTCATATAAAAATTTATTACTTCATCATTCAACCAATTCAAATCAGCTAATGTATGTATATCTTTTCTTGTTATTCTTAAACCAAATCCTTCAACAAGAACTTCATCCGCAGGTCGAGGAATAAGAGCATTTTTTACATCTTGTAACATTTCTTCTGTTAATGTAGGTAATTCTGGTTCCTCTAATTCTTCTCTTTCTTCTAAAACAGCTTCACATAATCTCATAGATCGAGCTAGATGTTCTTCCAAAGCAGCTTCCCTTGCTAAACGATTATGTTTAGACAAAACACAGGTCATTTTTTTGAGCTCTTCTGCTTCTTTGTAACGTTGTTCAATTCGTTCGTTATATCGTTTAGCTACTTGGGGGACGAAATCTTCTCTTATTACAGCTTTTGATGATAATCTATCTCTCAATGTATTTGTTGCTATACTTTCAACACATTTATTTTTTGCAGATTTCTCTTGCATCACATTCTTTTTGTGAGTTTGCGCCCTGTCATGAATGGAATGCATTGTCTCTTCTTTTTCATCATTATCTAAATTAATAATTATTTCTTTCTTTTCTCTAATCGGAATACTCCAATGCATTTGTAACGTTCTATCATGTTTTCTAGAAGCTGACTGAATTTTGGGAAAACAGGTCGAAGGGGTAGATTTTTCTAAATCTATTACTTCTATTGGTTCTTGTGTAGACCTTTTATCTTCATGTTTATCACATATTACATGTATTCTACGTGGGAGAAAATTTTGTAATAACTCTTCATATTGATTCTTTTCTCTTAAACGGTGAGTTTTGAATAATGTTGAACATTGTTGCACTCCAGCACTTTGTATCCTTTCACTTTTGTTACTGGAATGACCCATGTTTACTTTCTCATAACATGGAGACGATGAGAAATTTGATGAACAACACTTCAGTGACTGGTCTCTACTGTTACATGTACCGTTTAATCTACTAGATGATTTAATAGGAGAATATTTATGTTTATTAATAACTTGAACATCATCATCGCTGTCATCTTTAATTTCAATGGGCTCTTCATCCTCCACGTTAATCGTCTTGTAATCACAACGATGTTTCTTGGGTGTAACAAATTCTTTTTCCAAACTAAATGAAACAGCCCTGCGCTTTCTAGGTGCTTCATCTACCCATCCAAAAAATTTTTTTAAAAAGTCGAATAACAACATGATTGTTGAAAAGAAACAATTGCCTATAGCACGAAGTCCAAATGGTTTTTACTAATATGGCCATTCAATATATTATAAATGATATGCCTTCTAATGTTTATCTCAGTGTGATCCTAAAAATTTTATCAAATTTTCATTAGTTGATGTGGTGAAATAATGTGTAATATATATGAAATAATATAAGTATACAGGTAAGAATTTAACACGTAAAAAAAGAAAGTGTTAACTTTAATACTTACAATATATGTATTTATGCATGTATATATATGTATGTATGCATATATGTATATATGCATGCATAGGTATGCATAAAATTGGAATTTATAATGGCTGTGTTAAAATTGTTAATCCACATAACCTGAAATAGCCTCCGTAATTATTTAAAGTGCTTTAATATCAAAATAAACAAACGTAAAAGAAACTATAAAAATGATTTATACGTAAATAGAAGTATGGTTACGTACAGTGCGAGGAAAGATGTTAATTTGACGTTTTATCCTAAAAATGGGGGTTTCATGTCAAAAACCGGTATTGTAAATTTTGCATTAGTCCAGGAAAACATAAAAAAGAGAACCACGCGTTACGTACTTCACATCCAAATTTAAACACAGCAGGTACTGATACACTGTGTCCAATTCCATTGACGTTAATGCAGTGTATGGATTGACAACTCCCGCGTATTTTGCGGAAAAATTTACGCCATTCGGTGTCAATTTCAAGAACTACATATTTGAATTACTTTACTTTGCTGAGTGCTGTGTGAACCTACTTCAATGTGTTGACACTCGACAATATCGATACGTAAATTATCCGGGAAATTTAAAATTGCATGCGAAATGTGCCTGTATTTGTATATTATGGAAGTATAATTCAAGGAAAATATCTTGTTTAATTTTAAAATTTAATTATTATACATAGTAAGCTGCAATTTTAATTAAATTACACGTTACCCTTAAGAAATATTCCAAATACTTAATTCATTAGTTAAGCTTTAAAATTTTATACTTTTCCTTTTCTAACTTAAAGTCTACATATGTATAATGTTGCCGAGTAGTATGGCGAAATATATTTACCTCTATCTATCTTACAAGATGAAAATTTTGAATGGGATCTGATTTATCATTAAATCATAGATATTTGAGTTCACGAAGAAAAATCGTTAAGTGTAATTTTCAAAAAGAGAATTGTTTTCTCCATAGGCATCAACACATACAAAAAAATCTCAGATAAACACTAAGTACATGACAATCGTTTCAAATTTATTTATGTAAAAATTGTGTTAACTTAAATCATTCACATTGTCATAAATAGTAATAATATTGATAAAAAGATATATTTTGCATTATTTTTATATAACAGAGTTATTAAAAAATATACATAGTAAATTGTATAACATTTCAGTTACATGTGTATGTTTAAACGTAACTTTGTGCTTTATATCTATAGATAATTTCATTATTGTTTTTTTTTTTCACCTTTCAGATAATGTTTGAATCTTGTAATTGTTTATAATCATTACTAAAAGAAAGATTCTACCTAATTTGATATATAGATTATCATATACATATTAAATTTGTAATCTGATTTAGAGATAATTATACATTTACAATCAATACAAATATATTTTAGAAATATATTTTATGAGCTGTGATCAAAAAGATAGAGATTCAGCAATAGCAAAAACTCAGATGTAATGACTGATGGTAATCAAGGATTTATTGCTGTTCATGTGGGTATGTTATTATTTGTTTGAAACATGTATTTGAACATTGTTACAACAAAACTAAATAAGTAGATATTGTAGTTGAACAAGATTTTTATATTCTTAATATTACAGTAATGTACGTTTTATTAGGGGCAGGACGACATTCGCAAGCTCTTAAAGAGAAATATCAGAAACTATGCCGACAAGCATGCAAGGCTGTAAGTTTTTATTTACTTTAATGTATCATAATATGTCATGCGATAATAACAGGGAAATATTTTTAAAGGGTATACAGAATTTAAAGACTGGTGGTAGTTCATTAGATGCTGTAGTTGAAACTGTAATAGTATTAGAAGACTCTCCCTTAACTAATGCTGGATTTGGGTCTAATCTTACATTGGAAGGAACAGTAGAATGTGACGCAAGTGTAATGGATGGTGCTACATTACAATTCGGGGCAATTGGTGCAGTTGGCGGAATAAAAAATCCTATTTTATTGGCAAAACGAATTTGTGAACATCAGTCAATTAAAATTGCATATGGCAGAATTCCACCGAGGTAAGTATTAAATGCTAATCAACTTGAAGAGAATGAGCCACATTTCTAATTTTGATGAGATTTGTTTTAATCACTTTATTAAAAGAATAGAAAACTAGAAGAAAACTTTAAGAATTTAGTATTTATAAAATATAGTATTTATAAAAAAAAACATACTTTTAATGTAAATTGTTTATTAATGTATATGTACAGTTTTTCATTGAAATGTTGTCTCAATCAAGTTTGACAACACTACTGCATATCAGTTTATTAGTATTAAGAGTCCTATAAAAACAGGAATGTAGTGTTACTATATATTAAAGTTTTTTTTCCATTTGTGAATGGTTTTTATATTTTGGAAGGTCATCTGGATCTGCCCATTCATTTTTTTTTATTTTTCTATTGTTTATATGTACAAAATAATTAAAACAAATTCTATCAAAATTGATATCTCTTTTATAAATTTATTAAAATTAATATTATATAGATCAAATAAAAAATAAAAAAAATAAACTTAGAATATATTAATAGAAACAAATAATTGTTTTATCATCAGTTTCTTAGTTGGGAATGGTGCACATGTATGGGCACGAGAAATGGGAATACAACCATTATCTCCAGAAAAATTAATTTCAAGTATGTAAAATTTAATTATAATTTAAGTATGTTAATATCAGCTATTTATTGCCTGAATATGTGATAGTAATATAAAACTGAAATATTATACGTAATTTATTATTGAATATTGTGCATAATTGAGTAATAAAGAAAATGATTTTTAAGTATACAATAGTTAGATATTAATTTAAAGGTGTAATGTAATCTCCACAATTATAGATATAAATTAAAGGAAGACCTTTTATTTTATTTTTTTATGAATAATTTAATAGAAAAAATGATAAAATAATTCGTTTTTTGAATGAAATTTTTTGGTTCATGTTTATTCAGATTTTTTTTCTATTTGTGAATATTATCCTAAACTAAATTATCTGTCTTAAACTTTTTTTTGTATATTTAATAATCCACAATTTTATAGTTTGGAAATGAAATTAGACTTAATATTAAATTTTGATATAAATACAGCACATTTTTATTGTATTTGGTTTCTCACTCATTGGATTATATGTTGTTTTTAAATTACATGAAAGTTTTAATATTTTTTTTTATATTTATATGTACATAATATATATAATATATATAATATATTTATATTTGTTATATTAATGATGTATATTTATATATTATATATTCATTAATTTAATTTCTAGCAAAAGTACAGAAGATATTTTTAAATTATATAAAAGTTTTAATATTTGCATTTTCTTTATATTTATATGTGTATATATATATA